CGCAAGTCTCGCACCATTGATGAGTTCATCTCTCCCCAAGACCAACTTACACCGCTTTATTACGTGTAAGTATCGTTCTGAAGCAAACATCACCTCACTACACCCAAGGTCATTCACCCAAGCAAAGATGTGGAACATTCATGCAATGCTGGTTACCATGGTGGCGATGAGAAGACATCTCTGTTACGATCTCGAAACGTGGCTTACCTCGCGTGCGTTTAAGCTCCATGATTGTTACCGCTAAGATAAATGCCCTATATTTTTCCAAAGCAAGCGAATTCTTTTTGCTCCTATCCGCACCTCCCATTTCGCCTCTCTCCCAGATACTCGCTGAACTGTTGTTGTTTCTCTCTGACTCTGCCCCTTTTCCGCCCCTTTCTATCCTCTCCTTTCGCTGCGCGACTGGTTTAGTAACGGCGCGACACGTGACGTGTTTGCCGCCCCCCGATCTATCAGCGGTTGGATTCTTGAGCACTAGGAGGGCGACCCGAATCGTCGTCGTCGTCTGATCGTCCAGTCGAGTCAAGCGACACCCGTCGCACGTGTCGCACGTGTCGCACGCGCCGCCATGGGGTGGTATACGTCGCTTATCGTGCTCGTCGTCGCCGTCGCCGCGGCGGCCGTTCTCACGCCCGACGCCATGGTGCGTGCGTCTCTCGTCTCTCGTCTCTCGTCTCTCTCCTCGCTCTCACAGCTCCCCTATTGTTCACCGCGCATGTCGTACCCGACGCTTTGATGCGCGCGCCCCCCACCTCCCCCTTTTTCCCTTCTCTCCCTCACGCCCGACGCGTGCGTCACTCGTTTCTCTCTCACAGCTCCCCTACCGTGCATCGCGCATGTCGTACCCGACGCCAATGTGCGTGCGCGCAAGACTTTCCCCTCGCGCCGCTCATGCCTCCGCTGTGTTCTCTGTGTACTGCGGATGCGTTTTCCCCTTCTCGTCTTCTGAGGCGCCTCTTTTTTTTAGGATTTTTTGGGCGCCTCAAAAATCGCTGCGTTCTCTTTGCACTGCGGATTCGTTTTTCCCTCCTCGTCTTCCTACGTCTTGTCTTCCGTCATCTCCACTTCCTTCTCTCCGTCCCCCGGGCCCCTTTACCCCCTCCAGCTACCATACGGCCGCGGTGCCAAGCCCAACGTCCCCTTCCTCTCACCCACAGTGTTCGCAGCGCTACGGTTTGTGCACGTGCTGTGCTGCCCTGTGGCTCTGACGCTCTTTTCCTCAACCCTCTGTCCCTCCTCCCCGCTCCCCCATGCAGCTGCCATACCGCGCCAAGCCCAGCGCCCCCTTCCTCTCGCCCACGGCGTTCGCAGCGCTGCGCTTCGCCCACGTGCTGTGCTGCTCCGTGGCTCTGATGTGCCCTCTCTTTTTCCCGTTTGCCCTCTCTTCTTCCATTCTTCCCTCACTCCCGTCCTCCCTGCAGCTGCCATACCGCGCCAAACCCAACGCCCCCTTCCTCTCGCCGACAGCGTCCGCCGCGCTGCGGTTTGTGCACGTGCTGTGCTGCTCCGTGGCTCTGATGTGCTCTCTCTTCTTCTCTTTTTCCCTCTCTCCCGTCTTCCCTCCAGCTGCCATACCGCGCCAAGCCCAGCGCCCCCTTCCTCTCGCCGACAGCGTTCGCAGCGCTGCGGTTTGTGCACGTGCTGTGCTGCTCCGTGGCTCTGGGGGCGTCAGTGTGGGTGACCTTCTTTGCTGGCGTCATCATGTTCCGGTGCGATGCGAGTTGGGGGGTGGGAGTAGCTGGGGGATGCGATGTTCAGGTAGGTGGGCGGCACAGACACATGCTCCGTGGCTCTGGGGGCGAGAGAGCAGTGAGTTGTGAGAGCAGGTGTGAGGGAGATGAGAGGCGGGTCAAAGGGAGGGACACATGGGTCACTGCTGCTGGGATATGAGCGGCGGGTGACCTTCTTTGCTGGCGTCATCATGTTCCTGTGAGAGGTGGAGGCAGAGAGATGAGAGATGGGAGCCGGGAGAAGGTATACGTGAGAGAGTAGCTCCGAGGGGGATAGCAGAAACAGGGGCCCCACTTCCCCCTCCACACACACCTCCACACAGCCACCTCCCTCGCCACACCTTCGGCAGCATCCAGGATCGTCTCTTCCCAGCCTACTTCCGCCTTGTGGGCTCTCTTTCAATCACTCACTCTCCCTCCCTTCCCCCCCGCGGTTCCTCACCCCCCCATCCCCCGCGCAGCCACCTCCCCCACCACACCTTCGGCTCGGCAGCATCCAGGGCCGCCGTTTCCACTCACCTTTGCTCTCTGCCTTCCTCCCCTCCCTCCCTCCTCTTTCCCCCACACCCCCACACAGCCACCTGCCCCGCCACACCTTTGGCAGCATACAGGGCCGCCTCTTCCCGGCCTACTTCCGCCTCATGGCCCTCTCCTCCGCCCTCTCCGCCCTCGCTCTCAAACTCACTCTCAACCCCGCCGCTGCTGCTGCCGCTGGTGAAGCTGCTGGTGAAGCTGCTGGTTCCGGGGCAGGGGGGTTGCAGCAGGTGCAGCTGCTGCTGCTGCTGGCTGCTCTTTCTGCCGCACTGCTGAATCTGCTGCTGTTCGAGCCTATCACCACCAAGGTGGGTTGGGATATAGGTACTTAGGCAGTCATGCTGTATTTGGAACCACATCAAACAAATCAGATATGCTGCTGACTTCTGAGGCGTCTCAAAAGTCATGCTATACTTGGAGCCAAATGAGCCGTATGTGCTGAATGAGCTGAATCAAATATGCTGCTGCTACTACCTGCGCTTGCTGTCTCTGCACTCTGTTGAATCTGCTCACTCTGCTCGCTCTGCTCACTCTCCTCACTCCGCTGTTGCTCGAGCCTGTCACCACCAACGTGCATCCGTGCTTTCACCCCTCTCCCCCTCACCCTTGTCATGCCTCATCGCCTCGTTCCCTACACAGATCATGCAGGGGAGGCATGGCATAGAGGAACAGGCAGGAATGAAGGATGAGGCGAACGACTTTTGGGACGTTTCAAAAGTTCTTCTAGGTGCATTTTGAGGCGGTCTTTTAGGCGCCTCAAAAGTCGACTTTTGAGACGTCTCAAGAGGCACGGCATAGAGGAGGAGGCATGGCATAGAGGAGGAGAAAGGGATCAGGGATGTGGGACGTTTCAAAAGTTTTTTCAGGCGCCTCAAAAATCTATTTTTGAGACGTCTCAAGAGGCATGGCATAGAGGAGCAGGCAGGGATCAGGGATGTGGCGGACAGCATTAGAGGTTGACCCGTTGCTTCATGACATGCATTCGTGCGTTCTCCCTTGCCCTCCCCCCCATCGTCCTGTTCTCATTCAGATCATCCGCGAGCGGCACCGCATAGAGAAGGAGTCGGGTATTGGGGAGGAAGTGGGGTTGTTGCGCAACAGATGTTTTTTTTTTTTTTTTTGTTCATGCCGAGCATTATTGCCTCCCTTTTTCTTGTTCTCACACAGATCATGCGGGAGCGGCACCGCATAGAGAAGGAGGCAGGCATCGGGCAGGAGGTGGGGCTGTCACGCAACAGGGAGGTCGCACGGACCAATAAGGAGCTGGCAGCTGTCAACCGCCGATTCGGCATGTGGCACGGCATGTCTTCGCTCTCCAATCTCGTTGCGCTCTGCTCCCTGGGCGCTAACGCGTGGTTCCTTGCACAGCAGCTCCCTGTCTAGCAGTGCCCTTCCCCATCTAGTAAGCCGCTGAAAGCTGGCAGCGAACCAGGATTCGGCACGGCATGTCCTCTCTCTCCAATCTCGTTGCGCTCTGCTCCCTGGGCGCTCACGCTTGGTTCCCTGCACAGCAGCTTCCTGCCTAGCAGGGTAGCAGCTATCGTTGAGGCACCTCAAACTTCTAGTACTCCTTAAGTGCTCTCGCTTGGTTCCTCGCTCAGCAGCTAGCTGATGTGCCCTTCTAACCTGGTAGGAAGCTGACAGGTAGTTACCAAGTCGTTGACTTGGCCTGTGGCATTGCCCTCTGTGCATTGATGTCCACGCTTCGTTCTTGCTCATAGATGATGCTTGGTTCATTGCTCCTAGTTGGATGCTATAGCACAGCCTTTTATTGGGTGGTCGTAGTGTACACATGGCCGCAGGTCCCCATAGGTTAGCGTTTTTATGTTGATTCCAGTACCGTAAAAGAGGACAAGCTGATTTGCAGACCCGTTTTTGTAGGATTTCAAAATTCATGTAGCTTTTAGGGATGCACCAGCATTTTTCTTGGGCTTGTGGGAATGTTATGGGTGGTTTCAGAATCAGGAGTAGAAGGTGATGCCTTATGCACACGACATGATTAGTGTATCTATATAGGATGATTTCCCTCAGAATTCACTTTTGCTGAAAAGGCACACGAAGTGTACTATAAACACACATATAGCCGTTGTTGCGAAACTGTGCGACGAATTTGGAATCGTTGCTAGTCGCAGGAGGATATCGGGTGCGGTGCCCTGGTTGTGGAAAGGAGGGAACTTAGATTTTCGAAGCGCAGAGTACTTGCAACTAGAGCCGACTACCATAATTAGAACTGCGGGTTAGTGCGCGACGTAACATCGTTAAAGGGCGGCTTTACGTCCAACATCGGGGGTCGCGTAGTAATGCGATTCAGATAAAGTTCCTTCTCACTTTGGTTCCAGCGGTCAGCAGCTCAGCCCTGGTTTCAAGTGAACCGGGATTCTTTTTTTGTGGGTCGGCATTTCGACCTGTTGGCGTCGTCATTTCTGGTGGGTTCCGCGACACGTGCGTCGTCGCTTGGGCACGGCAATACGATCACCTTAATCATTCCTTCAGGCTTTTTGAAAAAACCCGTCATGCGATCCGCGCATTCGCGGTAAGCTAGGCCTAGAGTTATCGGCTGTTGCTGCCTAGTTACTTCGGCTGCAGATTTCGTTAGCTTGACTCCCTGGGATAGTCCCACAACAGCGAATAAACAAGGTTGACTGCATTCGCCGATCCTTACATGCGCGAACAGACTCTCATCGCAGCACAGGGTCGGAGTAGCCATTTCGGGTTACCAGCACCGGCGAAACGACGATGCGGAAGCGGGAGCGCGAGAACCCATGTTACATCTGCGGGCACTACCATAAATACGAGGAGGGGGAGCCGTGCGGGGTATGCGGGCACCGATTAATCCCCGCGGACGAGCGCAGCAGCGGGGCCGTGGCGCAAGCGCACAGCGCGTTCTCGTCGGAGATCATCCCGGGGTTCCTGTTCTGCGGGAGCTACGACAACGCGTCGCGATCGGAGCTTCTTAAAGCGCAAGGCATCACTCGGATTCTAAACGTGAGTGAGCGATCGGAGCAACAGGGGTGCAAGTTAAGTTGTGCAAAGGCCGGCCGATCTCTCTAAATGAAGGCGGGCGGAGGTGGTAAGAAGAAAAATGAATCCGTTCTGTCCCTTGCGCTGTCACCCGCACTTGTCCCCTTTTTTGCCTTTACTATCGTTTCGCCAAGTGCTAACTCTTCGATAGCCTTCATGCCGTGTAAACCGTTCCCATCATTGTTCGGTTCACTCCGTTTTTCATTTTCCCATCCCCCTCTTTCTCCCCCCGTCCCTCTCCTCCCTGCAGACGGTACCCACATGTCAGAACCTCTATAAGAACTCCTTCGTTTATCACACAGTCCAAGACAGCAAGGTCATTCCCTTTGAGGAATGCAACCAATTTATTGGTACTCTGCCATCCCATACCATGGCATTCCATGCATTGACATGCCATGCCATGTCATTTCATGCATTGACATGCCATGCCACACCATGCCATGCCATGTCATACCATTCCATGCCACTATCACCTGCCATGCACCCCTTACACATCTTCGCGTCGTCATTCAGCCATGCCCACACATGATGCTTCTTCTCCCCTCAATCCACCCTTCGATCTACTTCCGCCACCACTTCGCCCCTTCCTCACTGTACCGCCTTTCTCCCCCTCTCTGCCAACACCCAACACAACATCAGCACTGCTCTGTTCAATCGTCCGCCCTCAACCTCCTTTTTCGGCCCTCGCTCCTCAACCCTCCCCACCCTACAACCCGTCCCCCATTCCGCCCTCTCCCACACCCCACCCAACCACCTCGGCCACAGAGCAATGTGAGCGGGAGCAGGCGAAGGTGCTGGTGCACTGCATGTCAGGCCAAAGCAGGTGAAACCCCTCGTTCCAAATGCCCTCGTTTACTTAGCTTTCATAGTTAGACCCACAAGAGCCTGCTCTGAAAACAGCCCTGCCAATGGAGCACGTGAGGGAACGAATGCCAAGCTGCTTGTGCACCGCGTTTTCACTTCATGCTCGCTTGATGCGGGCCAAGGCAGTCAAGACGATGCATGCTGTGAAGAACGCACCCTGCCTGCCAATCCGTTCCCAAATCTCCCCCTTCCCCCTCGTCTCCCCCCCGTTCCCTTCCCTCCTCCCCCCTCCAAATCTCCACGCTCCCCCTCCATCTCCTCCCCCTCCATCTCCTCCCCCCACTTATCCTCCCACCCGCATCCAGTAGTGGTGGGTACCTGATGCGGGCCAAGGGGGTTATGATGATACATGCTGTGAACAACACGCCCTGTCAGTCCTTCAACCACCCCCCTTTCCCCGTTTGGTTCCCATCTCCTCTTACTGCAGGTCGCCAGCAGTGGTGGTGGGTACCTGATGCGGGCCAAGGGGTTTCAAATTATTCTTGTCAATAACAACCCTCAATCTCACTCCCCCTTACTCCCCTTTCCCCACCCACTCTCACCCCCCCTTGCTACAGGTCGCCAGCAGTGGTGGTGGGGTACCTGATGCGCGCCAAGGGGGTCAAGATGGTGCATGCTGAGAACAACCCACAATCTCACTCCCCCCTCCTCCCCTTTTGCCCCATTCACTCTGCTACAGGTCGCCAGCAGTGGTGGTGGGATACCTGATGCGAGCCAAGGGGGTCAAACTGGCCGAGGCAGTCGCATGGGTGACAGAGAGACGGCCGTCGGTCAACATACAGCCGGGTAGGTCAATCTGATGCCCTTGCTGCATACGAGGGAGGGAACATACAACGAAAGAGGCCCATACCGCCAGGTATGCTTGTCTGGAGGAGCATGTGAGGGAGCGTGGTGCATGCATTCAGGACTGAACAGCAGCCAATCCGTGGTTTGCGTGTGGTGTCCCATGATGATGAAAAAAAAAAAAAAAAAAACATGACTCGCTGTCTTTGCTTCTACTGCTGCACTCACGTTGTGCACAGTGCTGCGAGAATGCACACCAGCAGGCCGTGCTGCAGCTTGCGATCTGTCTGTTGGCTCAGCTCAGCATGCATGATGCCTTATGCCCCTGTCCCTCCTGCTATTGCCCAACCCCTTCCCACTCGTACCCTCCCGCACACCACCATCTACTCCCTCTCCCCCTCTCCCTTCCACCGCCCCCTTCCCTCCCTCGTCTCGCTCTGCCAGCCATGCTCAGCCAGCTGCAAGCCTTTGAAGCCCGCCTCTTTGGAGGCGATGCCGCTCTGAATTCTTCCGACCAGCAGCAACAGCAACAGCTGCAACAACAGCAGCAGCAGCAGATTCAGCAGGCAGGGGCACCGTCAGGCCACATCACTCCTCTCTCTGCTCCCGGCCAGTTCCCCGCCAACACCACCGCTTCCCCCTCCTCCTTCCCACCACTCCCCAGCTTCCCATTCCCCATGCCGCCCTTTCCCCTAGGCCCTGACGCCAATCCTGCTGATGGTGCTGCTGCTCCCCCGTTTGCAGGCATGCCCCCTCTAGCCCCTGTCCCCTTCCCGCCTATCCCTGGCATGCCAGCTGGCGGCATGCCATTCGCCTTCCCTGGTATGGGGGCTGGCGCAGGGGGGAATCCTCCAGAGGGTTTCGTGTTTGGGGCAGCGGGGGAGGCAAACAGAGGGGGTGCAGGGCAGGGGGGGAACGGGGGGCAGTGAATGCAGCTGAGAGTACGATTGACCGATGGGTCATTCATGGTATGATTAACGCCATGGTCAGTCCCCATGCTGCTATACCTACGAGCATGGGGTTGGGCTGAGCCTGATACAAACTGCTATACCTATAATTAGAAACATTGCCCCTGGTTGAGGAATGGTACGGCAGCAGTTGCCATTTTTTCTATGGGTAGGAGAGGCTCCAGGTATTAGGGTTCTGTTCCGGAACCTACAGCCGTACATTATTTACTTGTATGTTGAGCCTAGGAATATCCCCAACATTTCTTCATTGTGAAATTCGTATCAATTACTACACATGTATGTACAGCACAACTACCACATTACTCTCCTCCGATGCCCGCGTTTCAGCTGCAATTATTGGAGCGCTGCTTGACTCCTCTTCACCAACCAGCTCCCTTTCACGAGCGGCTCGACTCCTCCTACACCACACCCCCAGCCCAGGCCCCAGCCCATCCACACCCTCCGTTCGCGGTAATCTCGAAATTGGGTTTCAATCCGAATCCGAACGCGTTCCCTTCTCTGTTCCCCCAAACCGGACACCACCCCGCCTCACCTGCTCGTCGTCTCAATCCTGCTCTCCACCATCAGCAACGCTGCTACGCTAGAAAGCAGGCGAGCAGTGCAAGGTAGGGGCACATCATCTTCTGTGTGCGCCAAGCAATCACTCGGCATACGTATTTCAACTTCGCAAGCTCTTACCGTAGTCAACCCTCCCGAAATTAATTTCCGCTGTCACAGTAACTAGAGCTCGCCACGCACCCCGCAACAAGCTCTTCCTTACAGCTCCGCACATCGCGTTTACCCTTCAAAATACCACACGCGTTCAAAATACCCTTCAAACCACAGGCCACCGCCATTTCCGCTCTCTGCCTCCTCCCCTTCTCAGCTTTGACCCATACCATCGAGCCCCATGGCTGGTGTCAAGATCACCTCGCAAGCACCTCGAATTATGCATTTCGCCTTCTCCCTTCGTCGGCCTCTCATCGTAACCGTCTTCCTCGCCGCTCTTCTTCACGCAACTGCCACGGCTGTGCCCACGGCTGCGGCCTCTACGGAGCCTGCAATGTCGAGAAACCTTCCAGCCGACACGGTCCCGCCGGTTGCCTCCAACAGGCGGCTCCTCTCGGTCTCGGCGCAGCTCGAGTCGTCCCAGCCAGGCCCCGTTACAGTCACATCTTCCGTCGGATCTTCGTCGCCGCATGCGACGGCTCGCATGCTCTATGCGAGGTTTCCCGAAATTCGGAACGACGATCGCGACCACGCGCATTACCTCGATCCGCAGAACCGCGCGCGCGCGGAAGTCGGCTCCCCCGCGCTCGTATGGGACGGGGAGCTCCAGGCACAGGCGGAACGACTGGCGGAGTACCTTGCGCAAAAGGAGGGATGCGCGGTGCGGCGCATGAAGGAAGTCAGCGGCGGGGTCAATCTGCGCTGGGCGGCGGAAAGCTTGGGGGTGCCCGCGGAAGCGGAATCGGCGGTGGCGGAGTGGGTGCGCGAAAAGGCGCACTATCGCATGGAAGCGTTCCCGGCGGGTTGCGCGGAAGGCAGAGATTGCACGCACTACACGCAGGTGGTGTGGAAGAAGACGGAGCGCGTCGGGTGCGGAACGGCGATGTGCAACCAAGGAGGAGCCGTTTGGGCGTGCCGTTACTTCCCGCCCGGTAATATCGAGGGGGACCGCCCGTACTAGTTCGGAGCACCTCTGATTATGCCTCCTACGCGGAGCGCGAGTGAAGGCAGATCCCACTGCATTTGGAAAGGGAGAATGACAGGCGGCAGTGTGAAGGTGAAAATTCGCATTTCGTGTTGTTGCGCGAGCAAACGTCGAAGTTACCGGCAGCAAAATAAGCAGGAAAAATGCGGTTCATCGTGCTCTACAGTAACTTTTCTTGGAAGCTAGGTAGTGTACTTGCAGAGATCTTATTGCTTCATTTAATCTCCTTGAAAGCCCCAAAAATAAACATTATTGCCTCTAATATATCAGATACACTTTTAAATGAGCCCTATGCGACAGCCCTCACCTAAATTGTAACTACAACCCAGCTAGTTGGGTTGCCAAGCTGGCAACCACATTAGGATGGTACATTCATGATTAGCAAACCCAGAGTATAGCGCCCCCTCATGCAAAAGACAGCCAATGCCCCCTCATTTGCGCACTATAGGACAGCTGATACTCCCTCATTTGCGCACTAAGACAGCTGGTGCCCCCTCATTTGCGCACTAAGACAGCTGGTGCCCCCTCATTTGCGCACTTTAAGACAGCTGACGATCTCTCACGTGCGCACGAGACAGCTGACGCCACCTCAGCTGGCGCCACGTCACTTGCGCACGAGCAGCGGGCGCATCATGTCATTATCCTCGTGTTCGAGGATGTGGCAGTGCCACACGTACCCTGGGCCCTGCGACGGGTCGAATGAAAACGGCTTCCCATCCTGGCATGGGGGAGGAAGGGGAAAGGAGCACGGGGGAGGGGAAAGGAGGGGGGGGCATCATGTTGTTGTCCTCGTGCTCCAGGACGTGGCACTGTCACACATACCATACCCCGGGCCCACCGACGGGTCAAATTAAAACGGCTTCACATCCTGCCGGAGGGGGGGTGGGGGAGGGGAGGAAGGAGGAGGTAAGGAAAAGGAGCGGGGGGGGTCATCATGTTGTTGTCCTCGTGTTCCAGGATGTGGCAGTGCCACACGTACCCCGGGCCCACTGACGGGTCAAACTTGAAGGGCTTGCCGTCCTGCCATATGGGAGGGGAGGGGAAAGGAGGGGGAGGAAGGGGAAAGGAGGGCGGGGAGGGGAAAGGAGGGGGAGGAAGGGGAAAGGAGGGGGGGGAGGGGAAAGGAGGGAGGGGAAGGGGAGAGGAGGGGGGGATGGGGCATCATGTCGTTGTCCTCATGCTCCAGGAAGTGGCGCTGCCACACATACCCCGGACCCACTGACGGGTCAAACTCAAAGGGCTTCCCGTCCTGGGGGGGAGGAGTGGGAGGGGGGAATCAGGGTGGTAAAGGGGGAAGAGGGGTTGGGGGAGTGCTATTTTTGCTGCTCGTGAGGAGAGTGCTCCAGGATGTGGCAGCGCCACACATATCCCTGACGAGCAGCGCCACACGTATCCCAGGCCCTGTGACGGTTCAAACGAAACAGCTTCCCTTCCTGCCATGGGAGGGAAGGGTGATGTGTAGAGGAGGGGGGGGGGGGGGGGGGGGGGGGGGGGGGAGGGTGTGGGGAGAAGGATGGGGTAAGGGAGAGAGGGGAGGAGGGAAGTGAAGGGGGGAGAAGGTGATAGAGCGAGAGTAGGCAGGATAAGAGAGGGGAGAGGGGGTGATGATGCCATTACACACCTGAGAGCGACGGCCACGAGGATGGATAGCACCTCCCCAGTTGTGAGCACTGAGACTAATGGCTATGCTTGGGGAACCTTGGGATACACGCACCTGGGAGCGCACGGCCACGAGGAAGGATAGCACCTCCCCCAGGTGTGAATAGTGGTGTCCTCCCACCCCTGTTCATTCAGTTCCACCCTCCTCACTCGCCCCCGTAAAGCACGTGCATGCCTTGAGCTTATTATACATGCATCGGGATCTTTGGTCCTACCTACGATACGCACCTGGGAGCGGACGGCTACGAGGATAGATAGCACCTCCCCCGGGTGCGACTTAGTGGTGTCCTTCCACCCCTGTTCATTCGGATCCACCCTCCTCACTCGCCCCGTGAAGCAGGAAGGTAGCTTGTCCTCCCCGCTGCTCCTCGTGCCGCCGTCGCTGCTGATAATGCCGCCACTGCCGCCGCTGCTGCTGGCGGTGGTGGTGGTGCTGCTGCTGGTGCTGCCAATGATGCTGCTCCTGGTGATGCGCTCTGAACCGGCAACAGCAGAGGAGGCGACTGAGGAGGCAGAGGCAGTGGCGGAGAGGGAGGAGGGGTAGCCCGGGTAAGGGTAGAAGGCACAGTCGTCCGAGAGGAAGGCTTCAGAGTTGAAGGAGCGGCGGGCGAACGGGCGGTGCTGCAGCAGGTGCAGGTGGATGGGGTGTGAGTCGGCCGATGGGTTGATGATGTGCCACACCTCTACTGCTCCCTGCTTGCATGGGGGTGGGGAAGGTAAGCAGCAGGGAGAAGGGAGTTGTTAAGTGGAGGTGGATGGGGTGTGAGTCGGCCGATGGGTTGATGATGTGCCACACCTCTACTGCTCCCTGCTTGCATGGGGGTGGGGAAGGTAAGCAGCAGGGAGAGGGGAGTTGTTAAGTGGAGGTGGATGGGGTGTGAGTCGGCCGATGGGTTGATGATGTGCCACACCTCTACTGCTCCCTGCTTGCATGGGGGTGGGGAAGGTAAGCAGCAGGGAGAGGGGAGTTGTTAAGTGGAGGTGGATGGGGTGGGTGTCGGCTGAGGGGTTGATGATGTGCCACACCTCTACTGCTCCCTGCTTGCACGCACAGCACACAGAGAGGGGAGAGAAGTGAGGGTGTGGGAGAGGGAAGTGAGGGTGTGGGAGAGGGAAGTGAGGGTGTGGGAGAGGGTAAGGGAAGCAGCAGGAGAGGGGTCTTCTTGTTGGATGCAGGTGGATGGGGTGTGTGTCGGCCTATGGGTTGATGGCGTGCCATACCTCCTTCAAGTGAGGACGGTGGGAGATGAGGGAATGGACAGAGCATGTAAAACCCGAGAGTCGCACAAGTAGGGTTAGGTTCAAACCTGCATCACTCACATTCGAGAGGATCTCAGTAGCAGGCTGAAAATACCCACTCCACTTGAGCTGGATGACAGTGGGCATGTCAGTTTCCGGGTCTAGGTCTAACGTCACTCCCCTCTCTCGCACCCCACCACCCCTGCAACACTCACATTCTTGAGAATCTCAGTGGCAGGATCGAAGAACCCCTTCCCGTCAAGCTGAATAACCATGGGCATGTCACTGTCCGGGTCTGCCCTCTTGCAGATCAGGCAACTCTCCAGTGATTCTCAGTACCAACCCTCTCCCCATGATAACTGATTCACTCACATTCTTGAGAATCTCAGTGGCAGGATCGAAGAACCCCTTCCCGTCAAGCTGAATGACGGTCGGCATGTCACTGTCCGGGTCTACCCTCTCTCCCAGTACGTGCCAGCGCGATTTGGTCACCTGCTTGAAAGGCAAGGCCGCCAGGGGCTGGGGGGAGGGGAGGGGGGGAGAGGAGTAGAAGGGTGTGGAGAGGTGTAGAGGGGGTTAGAGGGGGTTAGAGGTGAGTAGGGCGGAGAGAGAACGATGGTGGTGGGCATGTCACTGTCTGGGTCTACCCTCTCTCCCAGCACGTGCCAGCGCGATTTGGTCACCTGGTTGAATGGCAAGGGCGCCAGGGGCTGGGGGGAGGATGGGGGGTGGGCTGTGGAGAGGAGTGGAAGGGAGTAGAGGGGGTGAGTAGAGTGGAGAGGGCATGACGGTGGGCATGTCCCTTCCCGAGTCTACCCTCTCTCCCCCAGCAAGTGCCAGCGGGTCTTCGAGACCCGTGGTTCAAGGGCAAGCGTCCCAGGGGCTGGAAGAGGAGGAGGGGGGGTTGGGAGCAGGGTAAAGAGGGATTGAGGGACGGCAAGTCACACGGTGGGCATGTCTCTGCCCGGGTTTACCCATTCCCCTAGCATGTGCAGCGCATCCAGGAGACCTGGTTCAAGGGGACTCTTGGTAGCGCTGAGGGAAAAGAAGGGGGGAGAGTGGAACCGGGGGAGAGGGGGAGGGGGGCGGAGGAGCAGAGGCGGGAATTCCAGCAGCAATACCCTGGACACAAATGGCTAACATCACACACAACTCATGCTCCCTCTGCTCTTGTTTGTGAATGAATCGACACAACTCAAATATCACATGTTTTGAGTTGACTCAAAATACGACTAAAGTATCCCCCCCTCTGCCCATCCGTGCCCTCCCATGCCCACCCATGCCTTCCCATGCCCTCCCATGCCCACACATGCCTTCCCATGCCCTCCCATGCCCTCCCATGCCTTCCCATGCCCTCCCATGCCCTCCCATGCCCTCCCATGCCCTCCCATGCCCTCCCATGCCTTCCCATGCCCTCCCATGCCCTCCCATGCCCTCCCATGCCCTCCCATGCCCTCCCATGCCCTCCCATGCCCTCCCATGCCCTCCCCAGCCGTCCCCCACCCTCTCCTCCCATACCCTGCCCCGCACAGCACAGCACACTCACAGAAATCATCTTGGGGAGGGGCGGGCCGGGATGGCCTTGCGCTTGGGGAGTTTTGAGTCAACGCAGCAAAGGTCACCCCTTACTGCCCCTCCATGCCCTCCCCTGCCCTTCCCGGCCCTTCCCTCCCCTCCCATGCCCTCCCCTGCTCGCACAGCGCACTCACAGAAATCATCTTGGGGAGGGGCGGGGCCGGGATGGCCTTGCGCTTGGTGAGAATGAATCGCATGATGACAGCTGTGCCGGGACTCACACGCTCGCCTGAAGAGGGGAGGGGGGATGGCGGGTTGAGCACAATTAGACATTGTACCCTTGAGGCGCCTTGCCTTGCACTGGGTGAGAATGAATCGCATGATGACAGCCGTGCTAGTGTCAGCTGACCAGCAGGGTAGGGCGAGCGTGCACGATTCGTGAGCAGCACGTCGCGGCGCCAGGAGGAGCCTCGTTGAAACCCACAGACTGCTGCAGGTCAAGCAAGCTTAGATGGCTGCTGCTGGCGTTAAGTAAGCCTGGAGTGGGCTGCTGCTGGTGTTATAAGCTTAGAGTGGGCTGCCGGTGCTGGTGTTAGACTGCACTCACCAGCAGGGTAGGGCGCGCGAGCATCATTCGTCAGCAGCACGTCACGGCACCAGGAGGGCGCCTCGTTGAAATCCACGAGCATATCAAGCCGCTCCCCCGGCGCCACCAGCACTTCCTTCATGCGGAGTGGGCGAGCGAGATAACCCCCGTCGCTGCCGATCTGCATGTGTGGAGGGGATGGGGGTGAAAAAGGGGCGGGTTGAGCAGAGGCAAGGCATTGAGGACGTCATATCGCTCCCCCGGTGCCATCAGCACGTCCTTCATGTGCAGCGGACGAGCGAGGTAGCCGCTGTCACTGCCAATCTGGGAAAGGGGGAAGGTGAGAGGAGGTCAGGGAGGAGAGAGATGAGGGGAAGGCACTCTCTCCCAATGCTACCAGCACACGTGGCATGCGCAGTGGGTGAGGCAGGTAGGGGGGGTCAGAGTTGATCTGTAAGGGAAAGAGGGAAGAAGGGAAGGAGGTGAGAGGTGAGGGAAAGAGAGGGTGGAGGCACGCAGAGCGCCACACAGCACAGCAGAGCACAGCAGAGCACAGCAGAGCAGAGCACAGCAGAGCACAGCAGAGCACAGCACAGCACAGCACAGCACAGCACAGCACAGCACAGCACAGCAGAGCACAGCAGAGCACAGCAGAGCACAGCAGAGCACAGCAGAGCACAGCAGAGCACAGCAGAGCAGAGCAGAGCAGAGCAGAGCAGAGCAGAGCAGAGCAGAGCAGAGCAGAGCAGAGCAGAGCAGAGCACAGCAGAGCACAGCAGAGCAGAGCACAGCAGAGCACAGCAGAGCAGAGCAGAGCACAGCAGAGCAGAGCAGAGCAGAGTAGAGCAGAGCAGAGCAGAGCAGAGTTCGGACCCGAGTCGTGGGGATGATGGGCGCCCAAAACAGTGGTAATGAGGCGTGATAGTGGCCCCGCACAGCGCACCGGAAGCGCAGACGGAAGAAAGGCATGCTTTCTGAGAAGCATGCACCCAAGCAACCAGCACAGCACACCACCGCACCGCACCGCACCCACGTGGGTCATGGGGATGACGGGCCCCCTGAAGGGTGGCTTGAAGTCGTGATAGTTGCTCCTGACAGCGCACTGGAAGCTCAGATGGTAGAAGCGCGCATTGGACGCCCCCAGGATCGGCAGGCAGGCAAGCAGCACATCACGGTCCACCACAGCACCGCACACCACCACACAGCACCCCACGCACCTGAGTCATGGGGATGATGGGTCCCCTGAAAGGAGGCTTGAAGTCGTGATAGTCCCCCCTCACGGCGCACTGAAAGCGCAGATGGTAGAAGCGCGCATTGGACGCCCCCAGGATCGGCAGCCGGTACAGCGCTCTCCGAACCCGGAAGTACGGCCAGACCTGGGAGAGAGGGACGTGGGGAGAGGGGAACGGGGGTTGAGGGTTGCGTGAGGTGACGCATAGCAGTGATGGGCAGGCAGGCAGACAGTGCGTTGACAATTCTCAAACAGACTCCAATATACCCCACATAAGCCTCACGCCGTTCCTTTTTACACCCCCACTCACTCACCCCACCTCATACATACTCCCCACTCCACACATCTCTCTCGCTTCGCCTTTCTCGCATCTCACATCATACAGCATACATACCTTCGCACGGCATGGCATGGCATGGTGTGCTCCATCCCATGGGACGGCATGGCATCGCATGGTGTGTTCCATCCCACGGGATGGAATACACCTCACCCGCGCCCCACAAACCCTCGCTCACTCTACCTCACCTGATACATGCATCTCGCATCACACATCCCACATCATACCTTCCCATTCACGGTGATCGTGTCTCCGAAAAACTCCGGCTGCCAGTGCGGGTGCTCCTTCGGAACAACCCCGTCAACTGGATAGTTCACCGACCCGTTGGGGAAAAACATCCGGTCCGCGATGGCAAGAGGCATGACGAACGGCCCGCCCGGCAGCGGCGCCCACTTGTTAATCTCCTTCTCCTCGCCTTTCGGATCCATTATAACGTACAAGCCCGCCATTCCCGCCATGACGTTTATCCTCGTTATAGCAATGGCGTGGTCGTGGTACCACACGATAGAGGGTCGCTGGCTGTTGTGGTAGTGGTAAAGCCGGGTGGAGAAGGTAGGCCCTGATTCCCCAAACTGGGTGAACCAGGCCTGTGGGTGGCCGTCATATGTGCTGTGAGTCTCCCCGCCGTGGCGATGGGGAACTGAAACAATTGAGGCAGGGGGAAAGGAAAATGGGGGGGAAGAAGGGAAGTTGAGAGCTTGGCTTTCCGAATCTTCCTGTACCGCGAGAACCTTCGGCATGGCATGGTGTGTTCCATCCCATGGCATGGATTCCCATTGCATGGCATGGCATGGCATGGCATGGCATGGGATGGCATGCTGTCCCATGGCATGACATGGGATGGCGTGGCATGCCATGGTAGTGAAAGCACGTGCATGGGGATCATGAGCGTGTTATCCAGCTGAATGCTGTGAGGGATGCATGGCAGAGTGTGGTGTCCCATCACATGGTACCGCATGGTATGGCATGGTGTCCCAAGGTATGGGATGGCATACCAGGGAATGGCATGGCATGGCATGGCATGGTACAAAAGGCACGTACCAATGGGCACGCCCCCTTTCATGGGCATGGGGATCATGAGCGTGTCGCCCAGCTGGATCATTTGCGGGGTGTGTGGCATGGAATGGCATGGCATGGCATGGCACACCAGGGCATGGCATGGGAGAGCACGGCAGAAAGATCATGCACGTACTGGTGGGCACGCCGCCCTTCTTGGGCATGGGGATCATAAGCGTGTCGCCCAGCTGAATGCTGTGAGGGGTGCATGGCATGGCATGGCATGGCATGGCATGGCATGTCATGGCATGGCATGGCATGGCATGGCATGGCATGTCATGGCATGGCATGGCATAGCATGCAGTCTCCAGAAAGCACGTACCGATGGGCACGCCCCCTTTCTTGGGCATGGGGATCATGAGCGTGTCGTCGAGCTGGATCATATGCTTCTTGTCCTTGATGTGGTTTGACCAAAAGATCTGCGAAGGGAGGGGGTTGGGGGAGGGGAGCAAGAAGGGTGGGCGAAAGGTGGGGGAAAGGGGTAAGGAGACGGACATGAGCGTGTCGTCCTGCTCAATCATGTGCTTCCGGTCCTTGATGTGGTTCGACCAGAAGACCTGACCGGAAAAGGGGGTAGGGGGGGATGGTGGGGGAGGGGAGGAAGAAGGGTGGGGGGAAGGAGTGGAAAGAGGTAAGTGGAGGATCAGACTTTTTGAGGCGCCTCAAAAGGAGGGGAAAGAGGTAAGTGGGGGATCAGGAGAGTGTCATTCTTCATGTTTTGAGTCGACTCAAAACACGACTCATTACACGATGTAAGTGGAGGATCAGGAGAGTGCCATTCTTCATGTGCTTCCGGTCCTTCATGTGGTTCGACCGGAAGATCTGACAGGGAAGGAGGTGTGTGGGGGGAGGTGGGTAACGGGCTTTTGAGATGTCTCAAGAGTCATGAGCGAGCGTGCGTGTCGCCCAGCTGAATCATGTGCTTCATGTCCCTGCCTCATGTGGTTCGTTCGACCAAAAGTTCTTACCGGGAAGGGGGAAGGTTGTAGGAAAAGGAGGGGAGGAGGGAGGAGGGGAAGGAGGTATTAGGGGGGGACGTGAACTTTTTAATCCAGGCGACCTGGCGCGACGGCAGCAACGGCCGCTTGCAGAATCCCTTTGCACCGAACCTCACCTAGTCGTTAAGCCAGGGCGCAGAGGTGCTGTGGAAGGTCCACCTGGCTGGATGACTCTCTCTTTCTGGATTCCTTCATTTCCAATCCAGCCGATTCAAAAAGGCCCTTTTTGCTTAATTCTACGCATTCGTTCGTACTGCCAGGGTGCAGTTGTGCTGGTGAGTGGTTCACTAGAGTGTCTTTCCCCTTCTTTCCAAGTGCATATAGAAGTTACCCCGTTGTTGTTACGGCCACGCAAGTGACCCACCTGAGTGTCTTTGCCTTTCTGGGCCAGGATGGTGGGGCCGGGGAACGCAGCAGTGCGCTGGTTCAGACCGTATGCGTACTGCTTCGTTGGCGGCAGGTCCCGATGAAACTTCTGTTAGGGTTGGGAAACGAACGGGGGGTGAGGGATGGCGGACGGAGGGGTGGAGTCAGGGAAGAGTGATGCGAATGTTGAGCCCATACTGCCTCGTTGGCTGGCAGCATGTCCCGATGGAACAATGAGGGGATGGGAAACGGACGGGGAAGGAAAAGGGGGCTAAGGCCCGGAGGAAGTTAGAGAAGCGTGGTTGAAAGGGATCCCGGTGGGGTTGGGGAAGGGAGGAGGAGGGGTTGTGGGGCGGGGGAGGTGGAGTGAGGTGGGGAAAGGGCGAGAGTAGAGGTTTTAGGGGGGTTTTGGGGGTTGGGAAAGGTAAGAGTCATGAACTCATTCGGCTTTTGTGAGAGGTAGAGGAGGGAAGAGAAGTAAGAGGAAAATGGTGGTGTTCAATACTGGCAATTAACATAAACATAGCAACTCCCAAATTCATCTAAAAAAACAGCTTCGTGTAAAGAAGCATTCATAAACTGGTGCTCATTGCGCGCGATTATAATGTAAAATCGCCATTTGATGGCAGCCGTCCAACACAAACTGGTTGGATTACCATCCGTACATTCCCGTCGCAAAACTACACGCAGCTTCAAGTCCGACACAACACAAACGAAACCAGGCTGAAAGGGTGGGTGGGTACCATCAAATCTCGTGCAGCAGGCAGGACGTGCAAGGGAGACGCTTTGTTGGGTCAACTCAGAATGTAGGTCGTTAAACCTCGAGGGTTTACGCGGCATCGCACTTCGATTCGCGTTCCTAGGCGGGAACGGCGGAGCGTAATCCGCCGAGGCCGCTTGAGCCGACGCCGGAGGTCCTCCGCAATCCATCTCACATCGGAAGTGATCGCTTTTTTCGCGGTACTAATCGTAGATGTTCCAGCCGCGTAGCGAGAGCTGGAGGACTAGCGAGCCGTATGAAGTAAATTTGGAAATCAGAGTTGCACTGGTAGATCTGAAAGTCCGAATCGCGCATGTCTGGTAAAACTGAAGAGCCGAGTCGCAGTAGGTATTGAAACCGAGTCGCGCCTGGTAGATCTGGAAATTTGAATCGCGCCGCCTATTATATTCGAAATACGGTGTCGCGCCTTATAGATCGCGATTGGTCCGGAAGACCGAGTTGCACCTGGTAGAGCTGGAAAGGCGAGTCGCGTCTGGTAGATTGAAGTCCTACTTGGTGGGCCAACGAGTCGCACCTGGTAAATCTGGTAAACGCCGATGCGAACGAGCTTCCCGTCGCTCGTGTCGACGGCGACTCGCATGGTGGTCGCCAGGTCGTCGACGAACTTGCAGAGCGCGCGCGCGGGAAAGGCGTTGCGGCACTTGGGGCCCGCCGCCGGCGTCCCCATCGGTCCCACGTTCCTGCCAGCAATAGCCACGGCTGCGGGGGCATACGTGCGCCATGAAGAGGGTTGGGGCGAGCGGCGGGGCGGGGTTGGTCACCACCACAGTGCGCGCGGAATGGAGGGAGAAGGGGGGATGGGGGAGGAGTAAGAGGGAACAATAAGTACGCTATTTAGGAAGAACCATCACAGCTGGTGCGGACGGCGGTCCCGCGCTTCTGCCTGCAGCAGCGGCAGGGGGACAGTGCGGGGGTTGGAGCGCGCGGGCGGACGGGTAGGTGGTCAGCGGGTCAGCGGGTAGTATATGGGGACGACCCCGACGGGGAGTGAGGGAAAAAAAGGGGGAGGGGTATATGGAAAGCGGTGTTACAGGGACACGGCTCGTTACGCAGGGTCCAGCTGATGAAACGGATGATCATTGCGGAATATATTTGTCGCACATGTGTCGAACCGCGCCATGAGGTAGAGCTTTACCAGAGACATGGACGACCGCGCGCGGGGCGAAGGCGGCGACAAGAAGCAATACCACACAGAGACGCACGGCCATCGCCATGCTCCGAGACATTGCCGCTTCAAAGCGCAAATTTCGGCGAGCGCTTGCGGAATGAGCGCGCCGTGTGTGGCGGCGGGGTGTCGGGCTCCCCCCCGCGACTCGCTGGAAAGGGGAATGTGCCTACAGCCTCCAGGAATATCTGCGGCGGTAGTACAATGCGTCCACCGGAGGGATGCGACAATGTAGCGAGTCGTAGCGAGCCGCGACGCGCGCAATCGGCGGAATGCGACAATGCAGCGAGTCCTATCGAGCCGCGACGCGCGCAATCGGCAGAATGGATTAGAGCGAGCACCCGACGCTTACGCCGACGCGAATGATGTCGGATACGAGCGACCTTTTGCTATCAGGTCCGCTGATAGTAATTGGGGATAAGACCGTCAGACGACGAAGTATGACGGCTTCGCTGAAAGAAGAGTGACGGAGATGAACAATAACCCAGCAAACCCTACAAGGTCTAGAGAAGCATATGCTGTGTGCGCAAGGATCTATGGAGCGAGTTACGTGTACTAGGGAGGAGAGGCGTCAACGGCAGTGGTTTGCCAAAAGCTCACGTAGAAGTACGGGATGGAAACAAGGTTTCGAGTGAGACTCGTGTTGAGAGAGGGGCGCTGAGGCAACTCATTTCACACGAAATGGGCTGGCGCGATTTGGCCGAAGGGCGGCCGTGACAAGGCAGAACGATCACTTGGCTGTCGTGTCGAGAGACTCCACATTCCAAAACGATTGGTCAAAGTTTCTTTGCGGCGTCGTGTCGAAGCCAGGATGGAGCTGTCGCTCCCTGCGGACGGTTGTGATTGAGAGAAAACTGCACAGAACATGACATCCGACAACTACACCTGATGCCCATTTCAGTCCCGTTCCCCATCTTTCTTTGTGCTCCTCTTTCGAGCATGCGCTCTCTACGGGGAGAATGGGACTGTATCTGGGCCCTGCGTGTCTTGTCTGGGGAACTCGATTAACCTATTCGACGTCAAGAATATCTTAGCTTTGTCGTGGGCTAGTAACGCGCGGGCCGTTGGCTGTGAATGTCGACCACTGGGCGTATGGAGTAGCAGCGGCCGTGTTCAGAGTGGGCCGTTGAGTGAGCATTAGGGTGTACGTAAAACTCCAGGGTGACGGGTGAGTGGCTGTGCAGTTTTGGCTTATCACGCACGGCTGGTGGAGTGAGGGAATTGGGACATCGGGAGACGTTTTTACGGCTAACCTGGACCTTCTTGCCCGTGGGCTTGGTTTTAAAAACTGCACCCCTTTTACATAAGTTAGCTTGAATCACAGAATTAATTTTAGTTTGTACAAACTCAAGTAAGGAAACCGCATACACCGCCAACTTTCGGGCCATAAGGTATTTGTAGATAGAAATTGATACTCGGAAGACGTGGAAGTCAAGGACAAAAAGGCGACAAAAATCGGTTGCTGTCAGAGTTTCAGGCACTGAAAGCATAGCTGGTGGGGGGATGCACCAACAGGGGCTGCATTTGACAGTTTGGTTGGTAGGGAGGGATGGAATTGTATGCTCCATGTGGTAGTGAGCGGTACACCTGATGCCCATTTCAGTCCCGTTCCCCATTTCTTTGTGCTCCTCTTTCGAGCATGCGCTCTCTACGGGGAGAATGGGACTGTATCTGGGTAGCCCTGCGTGTCTTGTCTGGGGAACTCGATTAACCTATTCGACGTCAAGAATATCTTAGCTTTGTCGTGGGCTAGTAACGCGCGGGCCGTTGGCTGTGAATGTCGACCACTGGGCGTATGGAGTAGCAGCGGGCATGTTCAGAGTGGGCGGTTGAGTGAGCATTAGGGTGTACGAGAAGGTGAACAACACACTATGGAGCTGAATTTCTTCGCAAATTTTGGAATTTCTCCAAAATGGTCGTCTTTTCGTGTCGTGTCTGGTAGTCGTGTCGTCGCCTCGCCACGCCACTTCATCCTTCAAGACCAAACGCGAACCGCGAAGTGCGTCTGTGAGCCGCGCAAGCTACCCAATCACGCAAGCTGAACCAATTGGGTGGTTGAAGGCGTGTGAGCGACATGAATTCTGTTGCCTGGAAGGAGTGTGCTTCGCATGTTGCCACGTGTAAACTACCCGACTATTTAACGATTAATCTGCATCCAGCTCATCTCTAGGCGACGAAACTCCTTGCAACATGTTTATGGCGAGCGGCTGGCGCCGCCAGCGGCGCGAGGAAGGGGGGCTCAGCTCAGCCGCCTCTAGGTATAGCAGCAGGAATAAGGGCGCGTTCTTAGCCTGTGTCAAGTTTCCTGACACAAGGCTATCGACGGCTCCGATCGTTCCACGGCATCATCAATCGAATCCAAACCCTTACAGTTTCATGTCAACTTGCCTGACATGGGCTAAGAACGAGCCCTAAGCAGCACTGGGCATTTGTATTTTGTTTCTCCTGCCCGCCCTCCTCACAAGCATTTATGTAGCGCTGTACAGTACACCCAACAGATATTGCATACTCATTCTTGATTCCTGACTGGACCTGCAGCATTCACTCGCAACCGAAATGCGGCCCACGTGTGCCATCGTCAGCAACGCCACGCCACAGTGCCTCGCAATTGACTTCGAAGGTTTGGATATGTGTTATCGAAAGGGAAAATATGTCACAAGTAACGAACATGGGACTCGATAACGTGAGTGGTAAAAAAAACACGCGTACGGTCAGTCTATCGGGTTTGCTGACGGGTTTGGTAAGTGGGATCACGGATTCAGTAACTAACAGCAGCTGAAAAATCACGCGAATGGTCACACATGTAACTCCCGCCAAAAACTCTTGAAACTTTACAAAATTCCCGCTCGCGCCGAACCAATCAGCTAACTTCTAAAAAAACTAAAACCCAATCGGAATCGGATGCGGTTTGGGAACGGATCAACCCTGAACACCTGGCGAATTGTGTTTAGGGTTGATTCATCCGAAAATGCATCCAGGCTCGTTTTGGGTATTATCTATTTTGGGCGGGAGTTTCATCTGTGACCATTCGCGTTATTTTTTCCCAGTTGATTGTGACTGATTCCGTGAAACGTGTTATCACACACGTGAAAACACCCTTTGCAGTGACCGTACCCGTTTTGTTTTTTACCAAACATGTTATCGAGACCCCTGTTGATTACGTGTGGCATATTTTCCCTTATCAAAACACGGAAATATACTGTGAAAGCATGAATTGCTGAATTTTACTTGCTTATGCACCAAAGGGCGTGTTCCTACTGCCCTGAGTGCAACTAAGGGCGTGTTCCTACTGCCCCTTAACAGGCCAACCTCTTATCAAGCTCGCTACTTTTACCACTGGAAATTCTCTAAACCCAAAAACTCCCGCTACTTTTACCAGGCAAGGCTGGCAAGAGGTTTGCCTGATAAGAGCGTAGGAACATGCCCTAAATCTTGTCTTGGTACCGTATACGCCTCCATCAGAAATTTTACATTTCTTTACGTCTCACCAGTTTTACAGCGAACGACGAGCAAGTGATTATGGCTTGCATCCTCCTATACAAGATCCAGAACCCCCTTCAATCAATCAGCTACTGCAAGTACGAAACCATAGCTTCATTGAGACACTCTATTGACACATGCTAAGGTGTTCTGTTCTGCATTGGGATTGAGAAATGGAGTTGCACTAGTAACAGGCAAGTAGAGAAAAAAGGTATATGAATTCAGGGGTACCGGTAAAAATACAGTTGCTTCAAGTTGTCGGTACCACCACCATCCAACCCAACACTGGATTTTTGCCAGCAGCGTGCTCGACCAAGTCACGGTCTGAGACACAATGGGAGACTGGGTGTTGTTGCTGGCCCTGTAAGTCTGCACTGCACTGCACTGCTCTGCACCGCTTGCTACTCCACAGGTGTTGCCGATACAGATGCTATGGTTTCGCCAAAGCCGACGCCAGCCGAGCCAGACCCAAGCTCCCCGAGCCTCCCGCTGCGGCTCGGCGGCGGTAGAGCCGAAGTGCGACAGCGCTGGCAACCAGCGGGCAGGCAACAGAAAGGGCGAGATAGGCCAGGTGCCACCTGGGGGAGGCTGCACCTGCCCACCCGGGGGAGGCTGCAGCTGCAAAGAGGTCGGTGGAGGGTGCATGCGAGGGGGAGGCGGGGGGGTGGTGGGGCAGGTGCAGTTGGTGGTGTGGGAGGTGGGTTGGGTGCTCCTGGTTGGAGGTGTGCTGGTGGGTGGTTGTTGCTGGATCAGCGTCCTCAGACTGTGTGGGTTGGGGGGGAAGTGACAGGGATGGGGGGAAGAAACTTGGTGGTTTGGATGCTTGGAGACAACCAAAAGTGGTGCCATGCAGTTGTGATGGGTGGAGAAAGGAAGACAAATATGCATGCGAAAGTGGGGGATGGGAGAAGCATGTGGCAAGAAATAGAAATGATTTGGACATGAGGGAGTGACGGAGGGGTAGATAGAACAAGCAAGATCAGTGTAGAGGGCTGGGAACCGTTGATCACACCTTGTGCTGACGCATGGGAACCGTTGATCGCCGAGAGGAGAGGGGCGATTGAAGAGCTGAGAGGGAGAATGTCAGGAAACGGAAGGGGAAGGAGATGAAAAGGAGAACTTTGTGAAGAGCGTATTATGCGGTGCCTGTATCCCTTAGAAGAATGAGGTGCTGAAGGGAATGAAGAGGGATGTTAAGAGGCGAATGCTGAGAGGAGCATGCGAAGGAGTGTGTTGTGAGGTACCAGAGTAGCTGAGACGTGTAATGTGTGGCCGCCTTGGTCGAACCAGCATGAACGTGAGCAAGTGAGGCACAAACTTTTGTTTCGGAATGTACAAAAGCAAGTCAGAGGCATGCAAGGGTTATAGACGGGAGAAAGTATTTAGTGAGCACAAGGTAAGGGAAGGGGTGGGGAAACGGGGCTCTAAAAGAGAGAGAGCAAGCAGGATAAGGAGAGGAGAGAGCGAGAGGAAGGAGGGGGGACGGAGAGAAGCCAGCAAGAAAGGCAGCTCACCCGGTGGTGATGATTCGAGGCACCGCTGGATCTGCCACAAAACAATGAGAACAGCATTCAGAGGAGGGCGGTGAGAGGAGGGCGGTGAGAGGTGGGTGGTGAGAGGTGGGTGGTGAGAGGAGGGCGGTGAGAGGTGGGCGGTGAGAGGAGGGCGGTGAGAGGTGGGTGGTGAGAGGAGGGCGGTGAGAGGTGGGCGGTGAGAGGAGGGCGGTGAGAGGTGGGTGGTGAGAGGAGGGCGGTGAGAGGTGGGTGGTGAGAGGAAGGCGGTGAGAGGAAGCGAGAGGGATGAGGAGGAGGCCTTGGGTGCAGATGATGCCAACAGAGGGAATTTGACCAAGGCATGCAAGCAAGCTGCAGGCGTCTCAAATGGAGGCCCTGGGTGCAAGAGATGCCTAAAGAAAGAAGGTTTAGAAGCAAACAGAGGGATACAGAAAACGGAAACACCAACTTACAAACCCCTACCCTCATCCTGCCTTACCTTGCTCATTAGATGCTCATGCTCTCGAACCACCACTGCTGCCCATACCTTGCTTATCTTGCACACCCCTTCCCCCATCCTGCCTTTCACCTTGCTCATCTTGTTCACTCCTTTCACACCGCCCATACCTTGCACACCTCCCACCGTCCTGCCATACCTTCACCCCTTTGGCACCAGCCATACCTTGCTCATCAGTTCGCGCACCACCACTGCAGCCACCCTCAGCTGCTCCTCACTCTCAAATCGCAGCTGCACCACCGCTGCCCCCCCTGCTCCTGCTCTCCCTGCTTCCCCCCGTGCCCCCCCTGCTCCCCCTGCCCCCCCTGTTCCTCCCCCTCCCCTCACTCCTCGCCTTTCCGCCCCTCCTCTCCCACCGAAATCCCCTACATTGCCGATAGTAGACCCGCTTTTCCCTGTCCCAGATACGACCTCCCCCAGGTCGTCCTCCCCACACATGGCACCTGCAGGCCCCATCTCCCACTCGTCTTCGCCTCCTCCCTCCCCCACTGCACTCCCCACCTCCCCCTCCTTCTCCTCATCCTCGTCAATAACAGACTCTCTACCGTCTATAGTCCCTGCCAGCACTGACATGCTTACAGTGCTCATTCCCTCCTCCTCCTCATCCTCCTCGTCCTCTAATTCCCCCTTTTCTCCCTCCACCTCTCCCTCCACTCCCCTTCCCCCTTCATCTTTACCCACCAGCCCACCACCAGACGATCCCACCCACTGAACCTTCCCCCGTCCTTCCCCCCTCTCTGCTTCCCTCCTCTCACCTCCCCCCCTCTCTCCTCCAACAACCTTCCCTGTTCCTTCCACACACCCACTCTCCCCACCAATCCTCCCTTCCATCCGGCCATTACAAACAGAGCCATTCGTTGCAGCGGCAGCAGCAGCCGCAGCAACAGCAGCGGCATTATCAGCAGCACCACTCCCAGCCTTTCCACGCTCCTCTGCCTCCTCCCCTTCGATGCTAAACACCCCTATCGGCCCACCACGCTTGCCGCCCCTGCCCGTCAGGCTCGGCGCGCCGAGCCTCTCCTCCCGAGCCTCCTCCTCCGAGATGTTTCCAAGGGAGGAAGGGGTTCGGCGGCGGGCCAGGGGGGTTTGGGAGGGGGAGAGAGGCGAGGAGGAGGAGGGGGGAGGGAGGGTGCCGAGAGCAGCGACAGAGCGGAAGGAGGGGGTGGAGGTGAGGAAGGGGGTGGGTTCCATGAAGTGAGGGTGCGGGTGAGGGGGGGGGTTGGTGGTTGTTCCTCCGGAGGAAACAGGTAGGGCCTGTGACAGCAGAAACAAGGGTGGGAGGAAGAGAGCACAGGGAAGAATGAGGAATGAGGAAGGGGGTGGGTTCCATGAAGTGAGGGTGCGGGTGAGGGGGAGGGTTGGCTGCTGTTGAGGGGACAGGAAGGGCCTGTGGTGAGAGAATCAAGGGTGGGAGGAAGAGAGCACAGATCGGAAAGAATGAGAAGGGAGAAAGGGGAAGGGTCCTGATATGGGGATGGTTTTGAGTCAATCAAAAGAAGTATGTGCGTGAGGGGGAGGGGAGGGGTCTATTCTATGGGGATGGAGGTGAGGGGAGGGCGATTGGTGCTGAGAGGGCAGGGGCGGCCAGTGGAGGGGTGGCCCAGATGGGTTCACAAATTGGTGCGGTGGTGAGCGGTGCAATGGAGTGTGAAAGGGTGTGAGGTATGCTCCAAGGGCAACACTCACATGGCCCACTGTCTCTCCTGCTTTACGGGCATCCACCACAGCTTGTAGGAAGTCAATTGACACCTGCACCCACCTGGGGGGCAGGGGAAGAGGGGGGGACGACAAGGGGAGGGAGGGCGACAAGTGGAGGGAGGCGAGAGATGGGGCTCTTGTGTGTGCATGTGAACTCCAAATCACCGCTCGCCTTGTGTGCATCCACCACAGCTTGTAGAAAGTCTATTGACACCTGCACCCACCTGGGGGTTAGGTTGGGGGAGGGAGGGAGGGCAACAAGGCGAAGGAGGCTGACAAGGGGAGAGTGGGCAAAAGGGGACGGAGCACACACTATGCGCTGCTGGCAAGGGCACAGCACCATAGATCTCTTTCCTACCATCTCTCCCCTCACACGCACTCACAACATACATGCAACACGCACACCCAGCATATGCTACTGGCAGTGTGGCCCTGCACTGCAGGGACGCCAGATCCAATAGAATAAAAGAACTTCTAACAACGCACCCGCCACAACACCCCCACGTCCCCCCTCCACACCCACCATATGCTGCTGGCAGTGAGGCCCTGCAGGTACGCCAGATGCCCCCCGTGGTGTGACACTGCCAGGACCACGTTCGGGTTGGCTCTGGAGATTGGGGTGAGGACAGGGAGGGAGGGGAGAGACAGGACCAAGGTGCCGAATAAGGAGAGAATGGGGAGCATGGGCACAGAAGGTACGCTAGATGACACTGTCGTGTGACACCGCCAGCACCGCGTTCGGGTTGGCTCTGAGGAGAGGAGAGCAGGGGAGCGAAAGGCGGGGAGAGAGCGGAATGGATAAGGAGAGAAAGGGGGTGCACTAACACAAAAGGTATACCAGATGATTCCCGTGGTGGGACACTGCCAACACCACGTGGTGAGTCCATTGAAAAAACATCCCCACTCCCCACTCGCACTCACTTGGCCTCGTTCCATTCACTTGAGCCTCCCCCCCTTTTTTGCCTCCCCTTCCCTCGCACTTGGCCTCGTCCCAGGAAATTGTCTCTCTGGTGCAATCGGGCCGCCCAGTGAGCTCATAGCCGGCAACGGCCAGCCATTTCCAGTTGAAGTCGTCTCAAACATACCCTCACCACCACCCCCCCTTCCCTCCCCATTCACACGCACTTGGCCTCGTCCCAGGGAATGGCCTCTCGGGTGCAGATGGGGTCGTCCAGTGCGCTCACTGCCAGCAGAGGTACTCCCACCTCTGGGAGAGTGTTGAGTCGACTCAAAAGTGATACTTCTTGAGTCGATTCAACAAGTGATACTTCTTGAGTCGACTCGAGTGATACTTCTTGAGTTGATTCAACAAGTGATACAAGCACTCACTTGGCCTCGTCCCAGGGAATGGCCTCCCTGGTGCAGATGGGGTCGTCCAGTGCGCTCACTGCCAACAGCGGCACCGCCACTTCCGGTAGGAACTGAGCAGAGCCGCAGCGACGGTAGTACGTGTCAACAGTCTGATGTAAGGGCAATGAGAGGAAAGAAGAAGGGCGTGGAAGAGGGTGGACGGAAGAAAAGGCAAACAGAGCGGCTAAGTAGGTCATGTGCTTACGAATAAAAGTAGAGGAGAGGAGGGAGGGGTGGTTGGAAAGGGGATGTGGACAGGGAGGAAGAACGAGCGAGGAGGCAGGGAAAAAGGGTAAGCGGGGGAGCACAGGCCAGGCAGCCAAAGAAGAGAAAATAGGAGGCAAGGAGGGGAACACAGGCAAGGCAAAGGCGGCAGAGGAAGTAAGAAGAAGGTATTTACCTCGTAGTTGCTGACAATGCGTGTTATGCGATCGTCAAACTGGCGGATGGTGCGCGCCTGAGCGGGCAGAGATACACAACAGCACACACAGTTGAAGCGGGGGGGAATGGATAGTCTGAAAGAGAAGCTAAGGACTAGAGGAATGGGAGCAGTAGGGTGAAACAATCCCACAATGCGTGAAGCTGTTGAAAAAACGCCAAGTGAAAAAGATGTATGCTTGTCGCTCCCTTCTAACCAGCTGGTTCTATTTGGAACGATCTGGTTACACATGCCGCCCATCAGATGCCGCCCAGCACATGCCGTCCATCAGATGCCGCCCAGCACATGCCGTCCATCAGATGCCGCCCACCTTCATGACGTGCTGTACGTCCACGAGGTGCTGAAAGCTGTCCTTGTGGCTGTGAGGTTGGGAGAGGAGGAGATGGGGGAGGCGAGAATAGGGGGGCCGAGGAGAATAGAGGAGAGGAGCAAGAGAGGGTGTAAAGAGGACCTTCATGACATGCTGCACGCCCACGAGGTGCTGAAAGCTGCCCTTGTGGCTGTGATGGGGGGAGGAGAGGAGGCGAGGAGAGGGGAGGCAAGGAGTGGAGGGACGAGAAGACGAAGAGATGGGCAAGAGAGGGTGTAAAGAGGGCCTTCATGGACGTGTTTAACGCCCCCGAGGTGCTGAAAGCTGTCCTTGTGGCTGTGAGGTGGGGAGAGGAGGAGACGAGTGGAGAGGAGAGAGAAGGCGGAAGAGAGGGGTTTTGAGTCGACTCAGAAGTCACCTTTGTGACGTGCTGGACGTCCACGAAGTGCTGTGAGGAAAGGGAGGAGAAGAGGGGAGAGGAGTGGAGGGGAGTGCAGAGGAGTGCAGAGAAGTGGAGAGGAGTGGAGAGAAGAGGAGACGAGGGAATAGGGGAGAGGAGGAGTTAGAAGAGAGGTGGATGGGCGATGGAAAACTGATCGCAATCGAGACATCAAAATGGGAGAGGGCGAGATAGGGTGCAATTGAAACAAAAGGGGGGAAGCAATTCAAGTGAGAAGAGAGAAGGAAAAGGACACAGCGCGGCTGGAGAGCAGGGTTAGGTGATGAGTTACGATTCAGGCGCATTTATTCGAAACTTGTCCCGAAACTCGAAACTCCTGAGGCGCATCAAAACTCATAACATCCATGGCACCCCTGGCCATGGTGGCGCTGTAGATGCGATCTCACTGCTTCTACGTCCCACTGCCTCAGGCCACGCCATGCCACCATGTCACACCACGCCTTGCCATCCCATGTCACACCACGCCTTGCCATCCCATGTCACGCCACGCCTTGCCATCCCATGTCATACCATGCCATCCATGCCATCCCATCACCACACACGGATCTCACAGCTTGGCAAAGTCTCTAAGCCCTGTAACCATGGCCGTGTTGTACACGCGCTGCCTCGTGCGCCGATTCATCCAGCGATCACAAATCTGCAAGCAGGGGAGGGGGGAGAGAGCCGGAGACAGGCGGAGAGAGGGCGTGAGAGTGGGAAAGAGATCGGGGGGGGGGGGGGGGAGGGGAAGAGAAAGTGGGAGGGCAGGAGACGTGGGGGTGAAAGGCCATGCTAGCCCTCAGAAGCAAATGGAATAGGTTGCTTCTGAGCCGAAACGTGTGCAAAATGCGCACTGCATTTTTGCTGGCAGTCAAGTGCTCACTGCTCACTTGCAAAGCGTAAGTAGCTCTGATATGCGTTGATTACAACCCATCCACGCCATAACAGTGCTTCTCATCCTCACCACACCAGTGCCTCCCATCCTCACTTGGATGTTACCGTGCCATGACGAGACAACACTGGTGGCACGAGGAAGCACAGGTGGAGGCCATACCAGCAGGTCCCAGGGATTGCCGATGGAGACAGCAGCTTGGATGGGCCCCGAGGCACCCTCCTCCCCTAGGTACTTCACCTGCGAGAGGGGGGAAAGGGGAGAGGGACAGGAAGGAGGGGGAAGAGGGAGAGGAAGGAGGGGGAAGAGGGAGAGGAAGGAGGGGGAAGAGGGAGAGCAGGGAGGAGAGCACAGATGGAGGCAGCAGCTTGGATGGGCCCCGAAGCACCCTCCTCCCCTCCTGAGAGGAAGGGAGGGGAGTAGGGGGCAGGCGGGAAGGATGGAGGGACAGGAGGGCGGGCGGGCGTCAGATGGGCAGGAGGGGATGAGGAGGAGATAAGGGTAAAACATAACACAAATCTTTCCGACAACACCAAACCACAAAGCCTTTCCACAATGCATCACTGCGATTCTAATCTACTCAGAATGGAGATGCCTCACCAGGATGTTCGCCCCCAGGGACGTGCCAATCGCGTAGAGGGGCGCGTGGGGGTAATCTTGTTGCACCAGGCTGATGACAAACCGCAGGTCCGTGGTCCAGCCCGCATTGTAGAACCGGTTTGACTGGGGGGCGGGGAGGGGAGAGGGGAAACACGGGGGAGGGGACGGGAACACAAGAGGGTAAATATGGAGAGATAAGGAGGGAAAACGGGTGGAGCGCACAGTGATGGTGACTCAGCTCACAGTGATGGTGACTCAGATGGCGCTCACAGCCTTGTCCCAACGACAAGAGCCCCCAAAATGCACCATTTTGTTCCCGCGCATGGCAAAATTTACAACAGACCACAATTGTTTGAGAGAGAAAATCGGCACCAATCATGTGCATGTAACCCAGCTTCCTCTCAATCGTTTAGATCATTCAACCGCGTGAGGTCGATCGCACGTTGTCCACCCCCCTGGCATTCAAGCGACGTCCAAAATGTTCATGTGACTCGTCTTGAGCGTTGTCCACAGTTTTGAGAATGTCCACAGTTTTGAATATTCCCAAATGTCCACTCTGGCATCCAAGCGACGTCCACATTCATCCTCATTTACGTGGCAGCCCTGAACACGTGTTCTGTGCACTGCTGCTGGGGAGCTTTGATTGCTGGGACAAGGCTGCGAACGCCATCTCAGCTCACAGTGATGGTGACGCCTCCCAGGCCTCGATGATTAGGCACCAGCGCTCGCCACCCGTGCCGTGTGACGCCCGCCACACACTGCCGCATGTACTGTGCAGGGGGGGGGGGTGGCAGGGGAGGGGAGGGGAGGGAATATGTGAGCATGAGGTGCCACAGGGCGTCATTTCTGGCCACCTGTGCCGTGTGACGCCCGCCACACACTGCCGCATGCACTGTGCAGGGGATGGGAGGGGAGTGCAGGGGAGGAGAGGTGTGCAGGGGAGCGCAGAGGGTGGTGGGTGTGCAGGAAAAGGTGGTAGTGACAGGTGCTGGCTTGTAAGGCCTGGCACCACAACCACAAATGCATATCATCATCCCAACCCCACCCCACTTCACTCAACTCCAGCCCAACCCACCCAGCCCACCCCTCACCTTGTCACTGGACTGGCTGGTAAGCCCCGGAACCACAACCACAATCGGCACTTGCGACGACCGCGCCGCCCTCCCTTGGGCCTCTTCTCCCCACCAGCTCCCATCCCACCCGGTCACCACCACCCAACCCAACCCCAACACAGCCCACCCCACCCCTCACCTTGTCATTTGACTGACTGGTAAGCCCCGGCACCACAATCACAATGGGCACCTGCAACGTCCGCTCCGCCCGCCCTCCTGCCCCTTCTCCCACCAGCTCCCACCCCACCCCGGTCACAGCACTCTACCCCACTCCTCCCCACCCCACATCACCCCTCCTCACCTTGTCATTGGACTGACTGGTAAGCCCCGGCACCACAATCACAATCGGCACCTGCGACGTCCGCTCCGCCCGCCCTCCCGCCACCTTTGCCTCTCCGCTCCCCCCCATTCCGGCCGCCCCTGCACCCTTCCCGCCCTTCCCCCCACCATCTGTAGGAGAATGCAGGTGGCACGAGGCATTACGGAAGAGGCGAACGGGAGAATGGGAGGGACGGGGAAAAGGTGGGTAATGTGAAACGACGAACATGGAGGAGGGTGGGGTGTGGTGGGAGGAGGATAATGTTGTCTAAACGGATTTTGACGAAGTGATTTGGAGTTGACCATCACAAACCCATGCGCCCCCAATCACCCCCCTGCACCCTCCATCACCACCCTGCACCCCCCATCACCCTCCTGCACCCCTTATCGCCCCCCATTACCCCCCTGTACCCCTCACCTGCTGCTTCAGGTTCAGCCCAGTCGAGGCCGAGGGTGCCTCCATCAGGTGTGCGCACCACATGCCTGAATTGGAGGAAGACACGGGGGTAGGGGGGGGTTAGGAGCAGACGACTTTTGAGACGTCTCAAAGGTCGCCATCAGGTGTGCGCACCACATGCCTGAATCGGAGGGAGGTACGGGGGGGGGGGCTGTTAGGAGCAGACAGAAGGAATGTGGCTTGAAGGAAAAACGAGGGGTGGAAAAAAACACAGCACTTGACTAGGGAATTCCATGAGCAGAGGACACCCACCTGGTGTAGGGCAATCTACGAGCACACCCACCTGATGTAGGGCAATCTACGAGCACACCCACCTGATGTAGGGCAATCTACGAGCACACCCACCTGATGCAGGGCAATCTACGAGCACACCCACCTGATGCAGGGCAATCTACGAGCACACCCACCTGATGCAGGGGAATCTACGAGCACACCCACCTGATGCAGGGCAATCCGAGCACACCCACCTGATGTAGGGCAATCTACGAGCACACCCACCTGATGTAGGGCAATCTACGAGACCCACCTGATGTAAGGCAATCCGAGCACACCCACCTGATGTAAGGCACGTGGGGCGTGGGCGCGAGGAAGTGCACGAAGGTGGTCTGCAGGTGCGGACTGCACAGCCACGGCGTTGGCCAGAAGCTACGGGGGAGGGGGGGGGGGGGGAGGGGGAAGGGGCGCATTGGGAGGGGAGGGGGACGGGGGCATTGAGAAGGGAGCGGGAGGGGGGTATGGCGGCGGGATACGTAGGGCACACGAAGGTGGTCTGCAGGTGCGGACTGCACAGCCAGGGCGTTGGCCAGAAGCTGCAGGGGAGGAGGAGGGAGAGGGGAGGGCCAGGGAAGGGGGAGAGGGATGGGGCGGTGAGGGGGAGAAGAAGTGTATGGGGGGTTGTGCACGAAGGTGGTCTGCAGGTGCGGACTGCACAGCCACGGCGTTGGCCAGAAGCTGCGGGGGAGGAGGAAGAGGGGAGGGGAAGGGAAGTAGAGGGAATGGGCAGGGGAAGGGGGAGGTGGAGGGGCGCATGGGGTGGGGCGCATTGGGGCACACGTGGGGCATACATGATTCATGGGGGCAGGTACGGGAGAAGGTGAACACACAGGTGCGAGGTGACTTTTGAGTCGACTCAAAAGTCACCTCGTTGGGGCGCATAGCATAGAGGCACACGTGGGACATACATGATCCATGGGGGCAGGTACGGGAGAGGGTGAACACACAGGTGCGGAGCGCAGAGCCAGAAGAGGGACACAGAGGGAGAGAAGAGGTCACAGGGGCGCACAGAAGCGTAACAAAGGCGCCAGATTGCAGAACGTTTTTTAGGCGCCTCAAAACAAGAGAGTTAATAGCAGACTCTGGGACTCCGAAAACGATTTTCTGGTGGCTGATCCGTAGCAGCGGCACCAGATTCAGTTGAGTCCGGCAATGATTCTACTAGATTTGGTTGAATATGTTAAGGATTCGAGCTACCAGATTCGGTTGAATCCGTCAAGGATTCGAGCTACCAGATTCGGTTGAATCCGTCAAGGAATCGAGCTACCAGATTCAGTCGTGACTCGGGTGTCTTATTGCCGCCTTCAGTGAGCTTTTGCACTTTCCACGCGTCAGTCTGACTGCCCGGATCCCCTCGCTTCCCAATCAGATCAACCCCTACGGCGTTACTTGACTGAATCCATACCCGAAACAAGCGAAGCCGCCATTAACTGCGGAAGCGGAAGCCGCCACTCACTGCGGAATGCGCATTCGCGCGAACACGGCGCGCGCCACGTTGGACCCGGCGTGGTGCACCACCTTCACCCTATCGCCGACGAACAAGTGGCTGACCACGTGCAGGTCGAACCAATTGTAGAGAAACGCCAGCAGCAGCGCAGCGAGCGCCGCGAGGAGCAGCCACCACACTAGCGGCGGCAGCTGCGACACGGCGAGAGCGACGGCGGCGACGGATTTGAGGAGCCACGGGAGGAGATCTGGCGGAATCGCTATTGTCGAAAAAACGGCCTCGAGAGACGGGAATGACGCCATCTTGGAAGAGAGTCTCGAGGTATCAGGCGACGCTGTGCGATCTACGGCGATTCTCCGGTGTTACAGGAGGGTGAGCTACTACGACGTGGCGCGCGCGCACGACGTGGATGCGAATGCGTGGATCGCAGAGCGTGGCTCAAGGCGAGGGACCGTCGCAGAGCACGGCCGTGCCGTGAGGCAAGAAGAGGTTTTTTTTGGAATTCCGGCTTTCTGCTTGCTCCTGGCATGGCGGATTCAGGGTGTACAGCGAGGCCATTCATGTGTGGTGGGGGACTTGTGAAGTCAAAGTTGTGGCCCACGATTGAACTTCGAGGTTTGGCGATGGCGGACGGAACGGTGGCGAAAGAACCAAGATCGGGTTACGAAGAAGAGTAGCGAAGGTTGGAACACTGCATATAAAGTTTACATCTTTCTACTTACAGCATGAATAAAACTCAACCATTTTTGTAGAATATTACGTATACAGGTAAACATCTACTAGCACGTGAGCTGTTATGAATCAAATAAATTTTGTAATATATATAGGATTGATTGGGTTTTTCTCATTCTAAGGTTAGGGATGATTATTTTTGAAACCATAGATTGCGTACCTGCATACTTGTTAACAAAGTTATGGCTGAACAATTCGTAAAACGCGCCTCACACAAAGCAATGAGGCGCGCCGTCACGGTGACCCCGAAAAGCACTGCGGTGGACGACCCGCCGCATTCCCGCCAAATCCTCCTCCCACCCACATCACTATGTGCTGTTTTAGTCGACGTCACGAGGAAGCTCTGTAATTGTTGTGTTATTTTCTGGTTCTTCAAGACATATTTACGAACTCCGCAAATAGTTGGACACTAGGGTTTGAATTTAAGAAAGCCGACTCACGTGGATTTCTTTAAGGTGAGATGTATGGCGAGCACGGAAGCATCGTATTTACCGCAGAGGATCATTAGTTACTAGTCGGTGCGATCTTTACTTTCCGCCACCTCGTTGTGTAAACTGATAAACTGAGAGGAAACGGGTAGGCGGCGTTGCTGAAGCTTGTGGTCCAGGCAATAAGCACGAATAGTGTTACGCGACGAGGAGATTCCGCGACTGTATGCTGCGCAACTGCGAGTGATTGAGAGTTCGAGAGTACTAAGGGAGGATCGCTTGTTTCGCTGGTGTCAACGCGATTCTAGGTCAAGGAAACGAGGGAATTAAATACCTGTTTTTGTTGACGATTTTGAAGGAAGCAAGCACGGGGAGAGATAATATGCCGTTCGATCAGGAAAAAAGCAAGTTTTGCACGGCTTTAACGTTTTTTTATGATCTTGTTGTGCATCTCCTCTTCCTCTCTTCCATCGCCCCACCATGTGGCAGCAACGAGTAACAGCGTGTGGTTACCAGCATGGAGAGGAAGCAGCAGGTGCTGGGTTTCGCCCAAAGGAAGCCAGTGGAGCGGCAGGGCAAGCATGGCAGTGCTAGCGGCAAGCAGACGGACTGGAAGGCCGCGGAGGAGCCGGGCAGTGAGGTGCAGAACGGTGAGTTGTCCTGGCAGTGCGGTGCAGTATGGTGAGTCGTGGCAGTTTGGTGCAGAATGATGAGTCGTTGTGGCAGTGAGGTGCAGAACGGTGAGTCATGCAGTACATTCGGGATCACCTGTTGTCACACATCCTACTCCTGTCCCATCTTCTCCCTTATCCAAGTTCCATCCCCTTCCGTTTCCATCACAAATGTATCTGAAAGAGTTTCCACATGGACATGGCATATGTCACCTTTACCAAATACTTCACCTGCCTCTCTTTCCCACCCACCTGTGTTCCCAACCCACCTCCACCCAACCTCCTGTTTTCTCCAGATGCCATTATCAGACCACCACAGGAGCAGGCTGAGCAGGCAGAGCGCGCCCTGCAGCTGTTTGACATGGCGTTCGGCCCCTGCACTGGCGTTCAAGTTTCAACCCATCATTGTATCAATCCCTGCGCTCCTCCCTGTCTCCCCAACTTCCCTTGCTCTACAGACGTCATCGTCACACCAACCCACGAACAGGCGGAGCAGGCAGAGCGCGCCCTGCAGCTGTTTGACATGGACATGGCGTTCGGCCCCTGCACTGGCCTCTCCCGCTTGGAGCGCTGGCAGCGCGCTAACCGGTTAGGGCTCAACCCTCCCCCCCACGTGCGGGCACTGCTGGAATCTGCCTCATGCCGTGAAGACAGCGTGTGGGAGGGCAGGGTGTGAGAGGGGGGGACGTGAGCATGCCTCCATGGGTGCAAGGCTGGATGGGTGCATGGGTAGTCTCTCCTGCTTGGAGCGTTGGGAGTGGGCCAGCTGCTTGGGGATCAACTCAATCCTCCAGCCCACGTGCGAGCGCGTCTGGAGCGTGCCTCGTGCCACGAAGACAGCGTTTGGGAGGGCAGGGTGCGAGGGATGCGTGGCCATGGGCGCATGGGTGCGAGGCATCTGGTTGCTGCGGGGGTCTCTCCCACTGGGATAGGGTGGGAGAGAAAACGCATGTTAGGTCTAAAGCCTACCCCTCACGTTTGTGTTCTGTTGCACCTGGTGCTCTTCCGTGAAGTGAGCGTGTGGGAGGGTGGATGTGAGTGTGGGGGATGAACACGTGTGAGGGGTGGGGGATAATCGTATGTGAGGGGAAGGGATGAACGTGTGTGAGTGAGGAGAGGGGAGGGGGATGAACATGTGTGAGCGGTGGGGGTTGAGTGTGTGGGTGGTGGTTGTGGGGGATGAATGAGTGCGGGAGTGTGGGGATGAGCGTGGGTGTGAGCACTTTGTAACGTAGGATTGATTGCCATAGGAGTTGTGGGTGAACGTGTGCGAGCTGATGCCATTATGTATTGGTTTGTTTCGCATGATGACCCTATCGTTTGTTTTTGAACCAACACGTACACACAAGACTGAACAGTTTGTAAACGTTCTTTTTCAACCAATACCAGAACGCAACCGCTAAATTATGTATCAAGCGTCTTTTATAGCTGATCCTCTGACGTACAACCATTGACGTAGTTCTGTTCTGACGCACATCTGGATTTAACAGATTCAAAGTACAGTACACCTGTCTGCGACCCAAAGACTCGCTCGACACATCGGGCTCATCAGACATTTTCTGTTTCACCCTTTCAGTCATAGCAAACATCGAAGCTGGTCCCACAACAAGAATCTAGGTTGTCTCGAGAGCACATCAGCTGACACCTCGTCGAACCCAATTAGGCTTGTGCGGAACGGACGGTCTGATCGCGCTTTTCCAGTCACATCTCTGATTGGACTTGATCTTCCGTTCCATGGCAATATCCAAATCTGTTTAGACGACGCATCGACGGTCTAGGGATGACATCTGTGATAAGAATGAGTCGTCTCGCACTTCTGTTCCCAAGACAACTGACCATGGGGGGATGGTTTGATGCTTCTCCAGAACGATCTGCACAATGGGAAACGATTCGCTCGGTTCGGCCAATGGAAAGGCGTCGCATGAATCGGAAAGCATGGGTGGGAAAGCGTTGCCTGACAACAATATCCCATTGGCCTCAAAGCCTACCCTCAGCTTACTCGACGATCACTAGTCTCGTTAGACTTGAGCCATCGACCGAGATAAACTGTTACTGGCCTTTCCGTTCCAGTTGAAATTGACGGATCTGATTACAAGTTACTTCGACTGATAATCAGCTAATTCGATCAGAATATTGCAGCTTCCGACATGGATTTTGAGGTCAGAATTAGAATCCCAGCTTGTCTGACAATGCGTGGATGTAACAGTCGCCCGAATCCCAAATCCAAGCCGACTGCAGCACACCCGGATGTCTCTCTTACTGTTGCTCCTCACGAACTTCTGTCTTCGGTTTTCAGCAGACTCATTGAGTCCCATCTGCCCATCTGCTGCCGGCCACACGAGACACGTCAGCAGCGGAGAGGTCGAGACAGGTTGAAATCGGTGGAGCAAGAATTCGATATTGGGTTCACGGCTGTGGATGTTGGGCCGCAAGTGTGCCTTTCTCCTGAGTTGAACGTTGAGCAAACCAGGCTTAGCGCGGGTACAACCATTATCGTGGATTCCCTGAAAAAAGTAACTCAAAATCGAAGGGACAACGGCGAGAAGAAGGTCCAGCCATCCCGGAATGCTCCTGCTCCTGCTCCTGCATCTGCAACTGCAGTTTCTGTGCCTGTGAACGATGCACACTTGTTACAGCTTCAGAAGTTTGACGAGCAGCTGAAGAGTATGGAGGCCTGGCTGGCGGCACTTCAGAAGGAGCAAAGTGGACTAGATCAGTGCGCTGGGGCAAACGGAGGGACAGCAGAGCAAGCGAAAGAGGAAGAGGAGGAAGAGGAAGAGGAGGAAGAGGAAGAGGATGAAGGAGAGGATTCCCTGGAAAAAGTATCTCAAAATCGAAGGGACACGAGCGAGAAGAAGGTCCAGCCATTTCGGAATGCTCTTGCTCCTGCTCCTGCATCTGCAACTGCAGTCTCTCGCATTTGGGATTCTCTTCCTCCTCATCCTCGTGCTGCTGCTCCTGCTGCTGCGCCTGCTGCTGCGCCTGCTGCTGCGCCTGCTGCTGCGCCTGCTGCTGCGCGTGCTGCTTTCACCACCGAATTGGACCCTAACGAGCCCAGCAGCATGGAAGGCGAGGGGCGTCAGCCGAAGAGAGGAGCGCCAACAGGGATCGGCGGAGCAGAGCTGAAGTGCCTAGATTCTGACGCTGGCAATAGCAGGGAAAAGGAAGTGGAAGAGAAAGTTTTTGTGAACGAGCCCAGCAGCATGAAAGTCGAGGGGCGTCAGCCGAAGAAAGGAGCGCCAATAGGGATTGGCGGAGCAGAGCTGAAGTGCCTAGATTCTGACGCTGCCAATACCAGGGAAAAGGAAGTGGAAGAGATTTTTTTTGTGAACGAGCCCAGCAGCATGAAAGGTGATGGGCGTCAGCCAAAGAGAGGAGTCCCGACAGGGATTGGCGGAGCAGAGCCGAAGTGCCTTGATTCTGACGTTGGCAATAGCAGGGAAAAAGAAGTGGAAGAGAAAGTTTTTGTGATCGAGCCCAGCAGCATGGAAGGCGAGGGGCGTCAGCCGAAGAGAGGAGCACCAATAGGGATTGGCGGAGCAGAGCTGAAGTGCCTTGATTCTGACGCTGGCAATAGCCTGGAAAAGTATGTGGAAGAGAAAGGTGCTGTGAACGACACACTCTTGTTACAGCTTCATAAGTTGAAAGAGCAGGTGAAGTATATGGATGCCTGGCTGGGGGCACTTCAGAAGGAGCAAGATGGTCTTAGTCAGTCCACTGGGGCAAACGGAGGGGCAGCAGAGCAAGCGAAAAAGGAACAGGAAGAGGACTCTGTCGTGAGAGAAGCACGCTGGCCACATAACTTTCAGGAGTTGGAAGAGCAGGGGAAGATTATGGATGCCTGGCTGCAGACGTTTCAGAACGAGCAAGGTAGACTTGGTCAGTGCACTGGGGCAAACGGAGGGGTAGGAGAGCAAGCGGAAGAGGAGGAGGATGAGGAAGAGGAGGAGGAAGAGGAAGAGGAAGAGGAAGTGGAAGTGCAATTGGAAGAGAACGAAGAAACCCGCTTCTCACGGTCCTTTCAGAAGTTGGAAGAGTGGTTGAAGACTAATGCGATGCTGCAGCAGGCACCCTGCTCTGGCGTCCGGATCCACCAGAGTGAACCAGGTCAGCCTGATGTGACAGACGGAGTGGCAGCAGAGAAGTTGGAAGAGCTGCAACAGGCACCCTGCTCTGGGTTCCAGATCGACCAGGGGGAACCGGGTCAGCCCGATGGGACAAACGGAGCGGCAGCAGAGAAAGCAAGAGCTGAAGAAAGCCCGAAGCAGCTCCAGCTGCTGTCTCGGGCAGGCACGGTTCATAACTTGCATGTAACGGGTGGTTGGGATGCGTTGTTTGAGACGTCTCAAAAGGAAAGCCCGAAGCCGCGTCAGCTGCTGTCTCGGGCGGACATGGTTCACTACTTGGATGTGACGGGTGCATGGGATTACGATCTATGCGAGTGCTGCTTTGACCGTGCTATAAGCAAGAGGGCACAACGAGCACTTGCCATAAAGAGCCTGGACGACGTGCATGGCCGCCACCTGGGCAGGCACCAGCCAGATTGCATCCCCGCCGCAGCACCCGAGCAGCAGCAGGAGGCCGATTTCAGGTGCTTTAGTGGAGCAACGGAGCTGCAGGTGCTGCGAGGGGGGCGCAGACTCTCGGCGCAGGAGCAGGTTGAATGGAAGGAGGAGTGGGCGCCTTATTACTGTGCGGAAGCGATGCTGCTTGAGTGGATGGCTGAGCCTCGTGTGGGCGTGCTCATGGACCTTGGGAGGATTAGATCCCGCCTGCCATCCATTCTGGGTAGTGCGAACGCTGCAGCAGATGCGTTCTCGTCTCCTGTTGCATCTGCTCCAGCTTTTGCTGCTGCTGCTGCTGCTGCTGCTGCTGCTCCAGCTTCTGCTGCTACTGCTGCTGCTGCTGCATCTGCTGCTACAGCGTCGTCGTGCTGCTGGCGCTGCAGCAGTTGCTGGGCTGCCTACCGCCGCGCTGTCAACTTCGCAACATGCCTCGTTCTTGTAGCGAAGTCTTCCCGCATTGTGACTCTATGGAGAGCCCACCTGTACTCCTATTTGGCCGCCTGGCCAGCTATTCTGGCCCAGCTGGGGGCGGGCAGGCAAAGGGAAGACGACTGCCTTGCGTCCATGCTGGCACAGGTCCTTGGGGTGAAGGAGAGCGCTGACCTGCAGGAAGGGTTTGGGTTTTTTGTGCAGCATGTGCTGTCAGGCGGGCTGGAGAAGGTGCATGGAGAGGGGAGGGAGGGAGATAGGGAATGTGAGGGTGTGGGAGAAGGTACTGAAGAGGAGACAGGGAGGGATGGGGTGCTGGAGCGCGATGAGAGGCACGGGGAGGAGGAGGCAGAGAGCAAGGTAGAGGTTCAAGGGGTTGCGAGGAAGTGTAGAAGGGTAAGGAAAGACGTGAACTGGAGGGAGAATCTAAAAGGGCTCGAATGGAGGAGGTATGTGGATGGCATGGCTTGGATTTTGGAGCATGGAGGGGGTGAAGGGAGGGAGTTCAGGTGCAGCCAATGCATTGAGGGAGGCAGCAGCAGCAGCAGCAGCAGCAGCAGCAGCAGCAGCAGCGACGGGGGCAGTGGCAGCAGCAGCAGCAACGACAGTGGTTCTGGGGCCAGCAGTACGGGCAGCGGTCCTCCCAAGGGCATGCACGTGAGTGGTGTAGGTGCGACCGAGTTCGCCCTCGCTGTCACCACAGCTTTGCTGAAAGCAGAGCACTGGAAGGAGGCACAGTTGTACTTTCATGATGCCAACACTGTGAGCAAGATACAGGTAGAGAAGGCAGCTATATATGTAGCCAGAAAGAGGCTGCTGCAGCATCGCCTGAAGCAGAAAAGGGGGATGGATGGAGGAGAAGGGGCGGGTGTAGGAGCAGCTCAGCCCGCTACAACCATGGCCAGCCAAAGCTCAGCAGAAACTCAGCACGCTGTTCTCATGCCGGTCAAAAGGCTTGTGCCTGTCAATACGAATTGTGTGGTTGCTGCATTCACCTATCGGGCCCGTTGCATCTTGCAGTGGGTCCGAATCTACGGCCCAGATTCCATCTCAAGAAACCAGTGCTCGAAAGACGGTGCTCCGAGCAAGGTACGGGTTATGCGCCACCCGCTTCGGGATCTTCCGAGCCTGCTGGTCAGGTTTGGCGCCATTCCCAAGCCTCTGGAGGGAAGCGGCGTTCCGCTGGAGTGGGAGGAGTGGCCTGGGGGCGATGAAGCTGCTGCGAAGTTTCCTGTCAACCCGAAAGAGCGATGTTTTGGGCTTGGGATTGTGGAGGAGTGCGGTGGACCAGCAGAGAAGCGGACATCGCCTCAACCTCCTCGGCACACATCTGAAGCAGCGGGGGAAAGCAGGAGTGCACGGGGAAAAGGTTGTAAGGCAGCAGGGCAGGAGTGCAGTGTGGAAGCCACACAGAGCAGAGCCAGTGGGAAAATTGCTGAAGCACCTGGAAACGCCGAGCAGAGAGTCACACTACCACCCCCCAGAAGGAAGCTTCCTATCGTGCGCTGCGAGGCAGATGTGGAGTTGCTGGTGGGGCTAGCCGGGTACGTATTGGACCCTCCTGCATGCGCCCACTGCACCCGCTGCTCCACTGACTTCATGAATTTCGCATGCTCCGTTGCTGTCATTGCCAATTTTGCCTACCGCCCCGTTAGTCACCTTTTCGCCCGGGTTCTCTCGGCGTTCCCGCCGGCCTCCCCTGAGTTTGTTAAGGTGGTGGAGTGCTTGGACCTCCCTGCTCCCCTGCCTGGGCCTGTGAATGTGCGCATGCTGCTGGAGCGAGCCGAGCAGGTGCCTCTTTACTTCCTCATTCACATGGCTGTGTGGTGCGCGCACGCTCTTTTAAAAAACGATATGGACGAGCGGGAAGGCAGTGGAAAAGGGAAAGGGGGCACAGGTGGGAGGTTGGGGGTGCAGAGCCGCTGGGATGGTGAGGAGGGTCAGGAGAACGGTGGAGAGGTGTGGGAGGAGGTGGTGATGTGGTATTCCTCGGTGATAGCTGCGTGGAGGTTCAATGTGGGGGCCAAGGGAGAGAGCGAGGAGTGCAGAGGAGGCAGCAGGAAGCAGGAGAGACCAGCAAGGGGGTGGGACATTACATGGATTCTTGAGGCAGCGATCGACCCGAGGTACTGTGAGGGGTTGCAGGGGCAGCGTGGGACTCCAAAGGAGAGGAGCACTGGCAGCAGCAGCAGCAACTGTAAATGGGCGGGTGGCAGCAGCAGCAACCGCAGTGAGAAGAAGTGTAAGAAGGGGGAGGAGCCGGCGCATCTGAAGGCATGGCCGGGGGGGGTCAACCTGGTGGCATGTCTGCGAGAGATGCTGCTGGGGGAGGCCTGCTACCGCCCTGCCTCCCCTGCTACTCCTCCTGCTGCCACGTCCACCCGTGCTGCTTCTTCCACCTGTCCTGCTGCTGCTGTGTCTTCTCGTCCTGCTGCCTCGCCCAACCCCACTTCAACAAGCATTGGTGTTCCTGCTGCTTCTTCCGCTGCTGCTGCCGCTGCTTCAGATGACCAAGGCCGTGTGTGCGGTGATGCGGGGTGTGGGAGTGTGGAGGGTGGTGGTGGTGGGAAGCTGAGGAGTTGCGGTGGGTGTGGCAAGGTGAGGTATTGCAGCAGAGACTGCCAGAAGGCGCACTGGCCCTCCCACAAGCTCACATGCGCGGGCAGGACCAGCGGGAAGAGGCGTGGGAAGGATGGGAACCGAGATGGGTGCGAGAAAATCCGCAAGGAGAGTGTTTGTGAGGGTAGTGGTGACAGTGATGGTAAGGAAAGGTGGGGGAATGGTGGAAAGATGATTGGTGAGCTAGGTTGCACAGGAAGGTGCATGGACAGCCTTGAAAGCATCAGCGAGGAGAGTTGGATGAGGGGTGGCGAAGTTGCGGGAAGGAAGGAAGAGTGAGGAGGGGAAGGGAAGGGAGGGGAGGGGAGGGGAGGGGAGGGGAGGGGAGGGGAGGGGAGGGGAGGGGAGGGGAGGGGAGGGGAGGGGAGGGGAGGGGAGGGGAGGGGAGGGGAAGGGAGGGGAGGAGAGGGGAGGGGAGCAGAAGGCAGGGCAGGACAGGGGAGGGGATGAGAGGGGGGGATGGGAGGGAGGGGGAGGGGGGATGCTGATTTGCCGTCGTGGGTGGTATATTGTAGCGTTAACACAGACCGAGTGCTGAGGCAACCCATGTTCTAAGTTCGAGTGTTGCAATACTGGCTTAAGTTCGAGTTCAGTAGATGTGTTGGATTTTTGTGCAGAAGTTGAGCATGTCGGCTCCATGCAAATTGAAGTACAGCATATCTGTGAGATGCAAATCAGTTAAGATGTTATGCTATTCAAAATTGTCCATAACTTCCCAACTTTTCACCAAAATTTCCCAAAAAATTTCCCTAATATTGATTCCATCTTGAAAGTTCACCGTTTGTTTTTTTCCCTTCTTCCCAAGTCTCTTTTTTTCCTCCCCCACCAACGTTCTTGACAAATGCATATGTCATTTTATTGTACTCTGCTTTTATTTAAAAAGGGTCTCCCAAAAAAGGAGACGAGATGGATTTGGCGGTGACTGTTGGGTCACAAACAGTGATCCGAACCGCCTGAGATGGGAAACTAGGGACTGCGCGATATTAATATTGGCGAGTAAGGATGTAGCGAAATGAAAGGTTCACACGGGTGCTGTTCGATTGCGCGGTTCGACTGCCAGCTGCGCCGGCAGTCGAATGAACCTTTCAGTTTCTGAGTTAATTTGGATCAGCTATTCAGTTCTGCTTCCTTAAAGAAGGCAACCTCTCTGGGTCCATAGCAGTAGGAGTAACTTGCGATCAGGCCACCCAACTTGGGTCTCGCGTCTTTTCTTGATCGGTTAGCGTTTCCTGCGGTGGCAAGATGGCTACAGCAAGCGCTCCTATCGTTTGGAAGGAGGCCCTCAGCGTGAGTAGGAGAGATTGAAGGTAGATTTATGTAGATCGACCAGGAGGGACTGATCGGTTTTGTGTGCTCCAACTGCGTGGCGCTTTGCTGATAAATTTAGGTTTTTAAGGTAGGCTGTTACTGGACGACTTCTGAGTTTTACGACATGGGTCATTTTTCCCACCGTATCTCCTTGTGCAGTTGACAAATCTGGGGGTCAATCAACGGTTCATCAACTTCACTCATGTCACGATGGAGTCCGATAAGTATATCTGTGTCAGGGAAACGGCTCCGTCGAACAGCGTTGTCATCATTGACATGACGACGCCAATGCCGCCTTTGAGGAGGGCTGTCACTGCTGACTCAGCATTGATGAACCCTGAAAGCAAAATCTTGGCGCTCAAGGGTCAGTTCGCTGCTAGTTCGTGCTTACGTTTGAAGATGTTCAGGTTCGGATTACTTAGACTTATCGGTCTGAACGTGCAGCTTTGAGTCAAGGGACGAATCACTTGCAGATTCTCAACATCGAGGCTGACTCGGCTAAAATCAAATCGTACTGGATGCCAGAGGAGGTCAGGACCAGAGTACAGTTGCATCTGCCATAGTTTGAAAAGCTTTACTGACAGACTGCTCTCTCTCTCGCTCTTTCCAGGTTGTGTACTGGAAGTGGATCTCCAACAAAGTCCTCGGCCTCGTAACTCTGACATCTGTTTACCACTGGTCGATCGAAGGTTTGTAGTTCTAGACTGCATCATCTGCCAACCTTTTCACCAACACAATTCTCCTGAATCATCATAGGCAAGCTTTTGCAGCGAAGATGCAGTGCTGAGACTTTGCCATTCCCTTTTCTTTGTGTCGCGACCAGGAGAGGGAGCGCCTGTTAAGATGTTTGAGCGTGCAGCAAATTTGAACGGTAATCAGATAATCAACTACCGGAGTGATCCCTCTGTCAAATTTCTCGCTTTGATCGGCATTGCCCCTGGTGCTCCTGAGGTATGCAGAAAGTCTTGCCCTTTAAAGTAACCATAAGTCGCAAAAATGGTTCCTGATGATGTTTGCCTTGGTGTTTGCTTGCAGCGTCCACAACTCGTCAAGGGAAATATGCAGCTCTTTTCCGTGGATGAGCAAAAGAGTCAGGCATTGGAAGCGCACGTAGCTGTGTTTGCCTCTGTAAAGGTCTGTTGTTTCCGTAATCCTTTCACAAGATGTTGTTCGCTCAGCGCATGCGAAGTGTTTGGATTGCTAAGCAAGTACTCGACTGGCTGTGATCGCGCAGGTGCCAGGAAACGACACTCCTTCCCTTGTCATTGCGTTTGCCACCAAGACTATCGCTGGCGGACAGCTTATTTCGAGGTTACATTTTATGGAGCTTGGTGCTCAGCCAGGTCAGCTAATCTCTAATCTCGTACGAGATTAGTATCGTGTCTCAATATATATTGGTTTAGCTGACAATATAAGCCTGGTTGTTCTGTTGCAGGCCGCGTTCCTTTCACTAAGAAGCAGGCCGACCTGTTTTTCCCGCCAGCTTTCGCTGATGACTTTCCGATCGCCTTGCAGGTGAGGAAGCTTGCGTTCAATGGTTCACCCCACAAACGATTCCGACTCTCCACGCTTTTCCTGCTCAACCCCCTTGTTCTCCTCCCGTGTTCGCCCGCCATCCTTTACCCCTTTTCCCCCTCGTTCAGGTGTCCGCGAAGTTCGGTCTGGTGTATGTCGTCACCAAGCTAGGCCTGCTCTTTGTGTATGACCTCGAATCCGCTACACCCGTCTACCGCAATCGCATCAGCCCCGGTCCGATCTTCCTGGCAGCCGATGCTCCCAGCGTGGGCGGTTTCTATGCCGTGAATCACCGCGGGCAGGTGCTGCTCGCCACGGTGAACGAGCAGACCATCGTCCCGTTTGTCAGCGGCCAGCTCAACAACTCGGAGCTCGCGATCAGCCTTGCTCGCCGCGCGAACCTCCCTGGTGCCGAGAATCTGGTGCCGAGGAGTGGTGGCCGAAAGGACGTGGTAGTGGCCAAAAAGAGCGCGGGGAGCCAGTCACCAGCAGTGGGGCGAAGCGGGGAGAAGCAGGGAGAAGCAGCCAGTCTCCGCTTACAGCCCAGTTCTTCCAATGTGGCCGACCGGACCGCCACAGCCATTACTCGCCAGAGCCTAGGTACGTCTGGGTGTTGAGGTTGAGTTAGGGAGTGTTGGTCCTTGAGCAGTAGGAGTTGGGCCTTGCCAGGGAAAGCCACTTTTGCCGTTGGCCTGTTGGAAGGCGATGAAGGAGGGGTGTTCTTGAGGCAAATCTGACGTTGGTTCGGCCTGTTCTGACCCAACCCGAATTTGTCAAACTAAGGTCGGTATGGGTCGGGCTGGGATGGTTTACCTCGGGGGGTCAGGCCCCTTACATTAGGGGCTTTCACTGCAACAAAATACTCATATCAAACAAACCCCTCACACCCCGTCCTCCTCATAGCACAACTCGACCAGCCCACTCTTTGCCTCAACGTGTACGACCTTCTGGTCTTTGTTCTGCGCGCACTCGACCAGCTCAACCGGGTATTTCAAGCCCCTTACCAGCATTCTGTCTCTGTTTGTTTTATCCCCTCACTCAACTACCTTTATAGAAGCTTCTTGTGAGGAGCATCCAGCAGCAGCAGAAGGGGCGGCAGCAGGTGCTGCAGCAGTAGCACCACCACCATCAGCAGCAGCGGGAGGGGTGGCAGCAGCTGCTGCAGCAGTAGCACCACCACCGTCAGCAGTAGCAGAAGGGGCAGAAGCAGCTGTTGCATCGGCTGCAGCAGCAGCAGTAGCACCACCACCATCAGCAGTAGCAGAAGGGGCAGCAGCAGCTGCTGCAGCGGCTGCAGCAGCAGCAGCACCACCACCATCAGCAGCAGCGGCAGCACGAAGGGGACAAAGCGCTGGTGTTTTGGAAGAGAAGGAAGTAGCACAGCCATATGCGTGTCGAGAGTACTCTCTGGCAGAGCTAACCGAGGCCACTGGAGAGTGGGCAGAGGGGAACAGGATAGGAGAAGGCGGCTTTGGGGTTGTCTACAAGGGAGTGTCTCCTCACAATTGCAATCAAGCTTGGGCAGTCAAGCGAGCTCGAGTGCTCACAAACGACTTCCATAGAGAGGTAAGTAAAGAAACGGCCAGCACAATCGTTGTAAGAAAGAGGTATCATGTTGCGAGTTTTGATTGGTACCACGTCCCGTGCTGTTTTTTTGTGCCAAGTCCCACCACTTGATTGTTTCATTGGATTGTTCCTTCTCCTTTCATCTGTTCACCGTCTTTTCCCCCCCCTCAGGTGAAATGGATGGCAAGCAAGCACCATCCACATCTCGTGCGTCTGTTGGGCTATTGCATCGACTTTGACCCGTCCACACGAACCATGGAGCAGCTTCTCGTATATGAGTTTATGCCCAACGGTGACCTTGACAGCTGGATCGGCCCTGGTGTCTCCAACCCTCTTTCGCTGCAACAAAGGCTGGACGTTCTGATTGGAGTGGCCAAGGGGTTGCAGTATCTTCACGACTTCAAGATTGTGCATCGTGACATCAAGCCGGCCAACATTCTCCTTGATGGGAAAATGCAGGCATGCTCAAAACTGTAAAGCTGGGTTGCATGTGAAAGAAGGTGCTTTGTTCATCCGTTTTGTTCATCCTTTTCAGCCATCATGTGATTTTTTAAACAGCCCAGCGTAGAGTCACGTCACCTAATCTCCCGTTGCATGATGATGCTGTTGTGGTTGATGATGGGCAGGCAAAGGTTGCAGACTTTGGGCTCGTGAAGTTGCTTGGAGGGACATCTGTGGCCTCATCAGACGCTGCCACGCGACTGGTGGGGACACTGGGCTATATGGACCCTGAATACTGCAGCTCTCACAAGCCTTCTCCTGCTGTTGATGTGTACAGGTGAGTAGGTTGGGACAGCACAGGTAAACACGCTGGTGCATGTCAGAAGATTGATACAGATTAGCAGATTGGGTCGAAATAACCATCCAACAGGCATCTTATGTTTGTGAGAATTCTTTGGATTTTTTACCTTCACCGTGTTTTTTTGCCTCGTTTCATAGTGGCTGTTCACGGCTGTCATTTGAGGAATGCATTGGCAAGCCTGACCAATCAAACGCTCCGAGATTCTCGGCCACTTAACGATGGGGGTTTGGGACACAAGTGGTTGTGAAGAAGGTCATATTAATCATGATGATTTTTCCTATGGAAATTGTCCAATGCATCTTCAATTTTTGCAGTTTTGGTGGTGTGGTGATGCTAGTGGTCGTCATGGGGCGCGAGGCTGTGCTTGTGATAAAATATATTTTCTGTGATGATGCCCGTATGCTTGGCTTGCAGTTTTGGCGTGGTGATGCTGGTGGTTCTAACGGGGCGCAAGGCTGTGCTTGTTATAGAGGACGATCACGTCAATATCAAGAGATGGGTGAGACACAGGTCACAATGGGTGAGACACAGGTCACAATGGGTGAGACACAGGTCACAATGGGTGAGACGCAGGTCACAATGGGTGAGACACATGTCACAATGGGTGAGACACAGGTCACAATGGGTGAGACACAGGTCACAATGGGTGAGACACAGGTCACAGTGGGTGAGACACAGGTCACAGTGGGTGAGACACAGGTTACAGTGGGTGAGACGCAGGTCACAGTGGGTGAGACACAGGTCACAATGGGTGAGACACAGGTCACAGTGGGTGAGACACAGGTCACAGTGGGTGAGACACAGGTCACAGTGGGTGAGACACAGGTCACAGTGGGTGAGACACAGGTCACAGTGGGTGAGACGCAGGTCACAATGGGTGAGACACAGGTCACAATGGGTGAGACACAGGTCACAATGGGTGAGACACAGGTCACAATGGGTGAGACACAGGTCACAATGGGTGAGACGCAGGTCACAATGGGTGAGACACAGGTCACAATGGGTGAGACACAGGTCACAATGGGTGAGACCCAGGTCACAGTGGGTGAGACGCAGGTCACAATGGGTGAGACACAGGTCACAATGGGTGAGACACAGGTCACAATGGGTGAGACACAGGTCACAATGGGTGAGACCCAGGTCACAGTGGGTGAGACGCAGGTCACAATGGGTGAGACACAGGTCACAATGGGTGAGACACAGGTCACAATGGGTGAGACACAGGTCACAATGGGTGAGACACAGGTCACAGTGGGTGAGACACAGGTCACAGTGGGTGAGACGCAGGTCACAATGGGTGAGACTCAGGTCACAATGGGTGAGACACAGGTCACAGTGGGTGAGACACAGGTCACAATGGGTGAGACACAGGTCACAATTGGTGAGACACAGGTCACAATGGGTGAGACACAGGTCACAGTGGGTGATACACAGGTCACAATGGGTGAGACACAGGTCACATTGGGTGAGGCGTACCTCAGAATGGAATACAAAGCTTAGAAAACGTCCAAATGGGGCACTAACACCATCTTTCGTAAGTCCAAGTGCATTACCGCAACCAGACACAATAAGAAGGTTTCTAACACCTTGACCAGACACATGTGGGCTGGTTCATCCTCTCTTCCTTTCTGGTCACATGAACCAGCCTACACGTTTCTGGTCTATGCTCTATTGGGCAAGGCGAGTATGACGATGATAAACTCTCAAGTCTTGTTTCACCTTGCACGTGTCAGTCACACAATCAGCTTGCCTATCCTAGCTGTCTACCTTGTTGCTTCTCTCCCTAGCGCATGTTGCTCCTCTCACACAAACCGCCCCCCCTATTTCCAAACTACTCACCCATCCATTGTGTCTATATCCTTCTCAATAATACAACGTTTTCCTGTCACCTATTATACTCTTATACCAGTGTATTGACAGACTTGCTCTTCATGCAACACTCCTGGAAAAAGAAAAAAGAGAAACTTTTTTTTCGTATGCCATATCCTTTCAACCTGGCAGGTAGCCCCACTGGTGATCTCAGGAGCAGTGGCAGAATTCAAGGACCCTCACTTGGAAGCACCGGATGATTTGGTGCTGCGCTTGGCCCGCCTTGCCCTCGCCTGCACTGCTCTGCCTGGGGTTTCCCGTCCCTCCATGCTGCTAGTGCTGGCCGAGCTGGTGAGGTTGAAGCAGAAGACGTTCGGTGAGCAGGTGAGCGCGGAGGTTTCTGGCATCGACACGGCAATTGGAGGCTCTGACTTCAGTGCTGAAATGGCCCGTGCAATGCAAGAGGCTGTAGTGGCGGCTCCTCAACTAGCATGCCATAGGATATGAGTAGAACATGCACCATGTGCCTCAAGAGTCCGCTATTAGTGTCAAACATATAGTTATATGTTATAGTTTGGGTAGGCTTTAGTGGGGTACTCACTGTGGGGTACAACCCCTTAGGTCATACTTTTGTACCAAACTCTCGATAGTCCAATTTCATCCTTGCCTAAGATTCTAACATGGCATCTAGAGCATAGGTCCTTAGGACCTAGGATTAGGGCCCACCGTTTACTTCTTACCTACCTCACGTGCCTACCTACCTTGCCTACTGCCCGCGCGCGCCTCGGCTGCACGCGCGCGGCCCTTTTTTTTTTTCCCGCGCGCGCCTCTTAAGCAGCCCGCGCGCAGCCCGTTTAGGCTCGTTTAGGCCTGTTTTCGGCCCCGCGCGCCACGTCAGCCGCCCGCGCAGCCTGCCGCCGGCCCGCGCGTCGCGTAAGCCGCCCGCGCGCAGCCCGCTTAGGCCCTGCGCGCCGCGTCTACCGCCCGCATAGCCCGTTTTCGGCCCCGTTTTAGCCTGCCGCCGGCCCCGCGCGTCGCCTCCTCCGGTGACGGCGCGCTGCCCCCCGTCGCCCGTCACGGCGCCTGTGGGACCCGCGCGCTGCCCTGCACCAGCTACGCCGCCCCTGGAGCAGCCGCCCCTGGACCCAGAGCAGCCGCCCCTGGACCCAGAGCAGCCGCCCCTGGCCCCTGAAGCAGCCGCCCCTGGTGCAGCCGCCCCTGGACCCTCGAGCAGCCGCCCCTGGACCCAGAGCAGCCGCCCCTGGCCCCTGCAGCAGCCGCCCCTGGTGCATCCGCCTCTGGACCCCGAGCAGCCGCCCCTGGCCCCTGAAGCAGCCGCCCCTGGTGCAGCCGCCCCTGGACCCTCGAGCAGCCGCCCCTGGACCCAGAGCGGCCGCCCCTGGCCCCTGCAGCAGCCGCCCCTAGTACAGCCGCCCCTGGACTCCGTGCAGCTGCCCCTGGACCCCGCGACGCCGCCCCTGGACCCCGTGCAGCCGCCCGCCGAGCGCCGGCCCTGCTCGCCCGGCGAGCGCCTGCTCTTCCCGCCACTGGTGAGCACCTGCCTTGTTTGCGCGCTGCCGCGCCATCTGCCTGCCTGCCTGCCTGCCTGCCTGCCTGCCGGCCTGCCTGCCTGCCTGCCTGCCGCGCCTGCCCTGCACGCGCTGCTGCTGCTACTACTGCTGTTACTGCTGCTACTGCTGCTACTACTGCTACTGCTGCTACTGGCGGTGGCCAGATGCAGCTCCAGCGACGTCCGCGTGAGTCCCTCACGCCCCAGCAACTTAGTGAGTGGTACGCTAGTTGGGGTTGTAGGGGTGGCCGCGCTGCTACTGCTGCTACTGCTGCTATTGCTATTACTGCTGCTACTGCTGCTACTACTGCTACTGCTGCTACTGGCGGTGGCCAGATGCAGCTCCAGCGACGTCCGCGCGAGTCTCGCACGCCCCAGCAGCTTCGTGAGTGGTACGCTCAGAGTAGAGGGTCTCTGAGTACCGTTCGCTGCCCGTACGTCATTCGCACTGGTGCTCGGACTGGTCAGGCTTGCGGGACGCTTAGTCACACACAGTCCCGCTGCTTCGCCCGTCTGAGCGACGCCTGGCGTACCAAGTTTGGCGACGAGGCTGAGCTCCCCGACTGGGTGGAGCTGCTTGGGCAGAGGGTAGATATATTTGCTCTTGACTATGATGCTATTCTCACTGCCATGTATGCATTGCCTACTAGTGCTGACCGTGCCTGTTACCTGTGCGTACCGCCTGACCCAGGTATAGAGCCTGCCGCTCCAGGTGCTGGTGAGTCTGCTCTCTCTGGTACTGCGCCTGCTGAGGCCTTGTACACCTTCACACTTGACTCTGGTGCTTCTCGCTCCTTCTTTCGCGACAGCACCACCCTCACACCGCTCAGTCGGCCGGTTCCAGTCTCCCTGGCAGACCCCTCTGGGGGTCCAGTCCGTGCGACCTCCTCCACTGTCCGCCCTTGTCCTGCTGTCCCGTCCGGCACACTGTCGGGTCTTTACCTCCCCTCGTTCTCTACAAACTTGGTGGCGGGTTCTGCGCTCCAGGACGCGGGTGTTCACCAGTTCACCCCTGCCTACGAGCGTGTGACACACTACACGTGTGCTCAGACGGGTCGTCACCTGGCTACCTTCACTAGATAGCCGGGGTCGGGCCTGTACACACTGACCACTGAGTCCCCTCAGGTAGCTGCGTCTGCGTCAGGTCAGCTAGCGGCCCCCTGCTCGTGTCGCGCCTTGTCGCACCAGACCCTCCTTTGGCACCACCGCCTTGGTCACCCCTCGGTGCAGCGCCTTCGTAGCATGCACCGCCGTGTCCTTGTCTCTGGTCTTCCTAGGGTTCTCCCTCCCCTCTCACCCTCGCCTGCTCCTCCCTGTCTTCCCTGTGTCGAGGGGCGGCAGCGCGCCGCTCCTCACTCCTCCTCGTTCCCTCCCACAGAGGCTCCCCTGCAGACTCTCCACCTGGACGTGTGGGGCCCAGCCCGCGTCCGTGGACAGGGCCACGAGTGGTACTTCCTGTTGGTCGTCGACGACTACACGCGTTACACCACGGTCTTCCCCTTGCGCACCAAGGGTGAGGTCCCTGATGTTTTGATCCCTTGGATCCGCGCTGCTCGTCTCCAGCTCCGCGAGCGGTTCGGGACGGAGTTTCCCGTCCTGCGTCTGCACTCTGACAGAGGTGGTGAGTTTTCCTCCGACCTCTTGGCAGCCTTCTGTGAGGAGCACGGCATCACCCAGTCGTTCACGCTTCCGGCCTCTCCGCAGCAGAATGGGGTAGCTGAGCGCCGCATTGGCTTAGTCATGGAGGTCGCTCGTACCTCCATGATCCATGCGGCTGCCCCCCCATTTTCAGTGGCCGTTTGCGGTCCGGTATGCTGCGCATCAGCTCAACCTCTGGCCCCGTGTCTCCTTGCCGGAGACCTCGCCCACACTGCTGTGGACGGGGAAGGTTGGCGATGCGTCGCGTTTCCGGGTCTGGGGTGCTCGTGCCTTTGTCCGCGATACCACCGCGGACAAGCTCTCCGCCCGCGCTGTTCCCTGTGTCTTCCTTGGCTTTGTCCCTGACGCGCCTGGTTGGCAGTTTTACCACCCCACCTCGCGCCATGTCTTCCCCTCTCAGGACGTCACGTTCGACGTGTCGGTTCCCTTTTACCGTCTCTTCCCCTACCGCACTGCCCCTCTCCCCCCCCCCGCCGCTCTTCCTCGCTCCAGGTGCTCCCCAGGTAGACCCCCTCCCCACTCCGCCTATTAGATAGAGTAACATTTAGTCATTCCGTATCCTAACCGTGTAAATTGATGAGTATTAGCTAGACTTAGTTGTTTAAACTTAGGTTCTCAGCCCTTTGTAAAGATTTCAGGTTCTCCTCCCTGCATAAGCTTGCATCTGTTTCTTCTATTCTTCATCCTTAACTTTTCCTCTCGTCGGTTGCCTTTTCTTCATATTTGCATGTTTTAGTTCATTTTTTTCTCAACCTCGTCTTAGGTTGTACATAAAGATTGTAATAGGTTGCACGTTCAGTCCATTTCGTTCTCTCTCGCTCGTTCTCTCTCACCCGTTCTCTCTCTCTCCCGTTCTCTCTCTCCCGTTCTCTCTCTCCCATTCTCTCTCACCCGTTCTCTCTCTATCGTTCTCTCTCTCTCGTTCTCTCTCTCGTTCTCTCTCTCGTTCTCTCTCGTTTTCTTTCTCTCTCGATCTCTCTCTCTCTCTCTCTCTCTCTCTCTCTCTCTCTCTCTCTCTCTCTCTCTCTCTCTCTCTCTCTCTCTCTCTCTCTCTCTCTCTCTCTCGTTCTCTCTCTCTCGTTCTCTCGTTCTCCCTCGCTCTGTCGTTCTCTCTCTCTCGTTCTCTCTCTCTCGTTCTCTCTCTCGCGTTCTCTCTCTCTCTCTCTCTCTCTCTCTCTCTCTCTCTCTCTCTCTCTCTCTCTCTCTCTCTCTCTCTCTCTCTCTCTCTCTCTCTCTCTCTCTCAAGCGGTCCTTCATTAATATTATAAAGGGGTAAAAGCAATACATGATAAAACAACAAAGACATCCGCTAGCAGTCCGCTCACAACGCAGTCAGATGCTAATGTGACCTCGAGGCACGCCTACCAGTGGGAGAGAGCCGCCCACTGCCATGGCCGCCCCCTCTGTCCCGCCCCTCACACATCTAGGGGCGGGCCCCAGTCCAAGTCATCCTCAATGACTTGGCACAGGTCCCCCAGGCGGGGCTCCCATGGGTCAGCCGCCGCCTGGGGGTAGGCACTCTCTGCAGCCCGGTTAGACTTGGCCAGGAAAGTGTTTGCCTGGCTCCTCTGCAGCGCTACCGACCACCGCTGGCGGTAGTGCGCCGTAAGTTTGGAGGCTACCGTGGTAAGTCTCCCTTGCCTGAACTTCTTTTTAGCCGCCTGCCTGCCCAAGAGCCGGAGAAACCTTTGGGTGTCGCGTGCCAGGGCCCCGTACGTTTCCACCGCCAGCCCAAACACCCCCACATAATCCGGCCGCCCCTCATATAATCCCCTCTTCCCTCTCGCTGCATCCTCCGCCGCCCAGCCCGGCGGCTTTACCGCCCTCGTGTCTCGGCGCTGTAGGACCGGGTCGGTCACCGTGACATCCGTCACGTACGTCTCGGCGGACTCCCTGTCCTTGATGGCCAGGTCCGCTCGCTTGGGGTTGATAGGTTGCGAGTAGACCGTGGTCTCATACCAGGTGAGGTAGTCCGCCTCCCTCGCCATTCGCAGCGCTGCAAACACGAGGTTGTTGTGCGTGTTTGTCCTCTCCTTCCCCTCCCCGCACCGCAGCAGGTGGTTCGGCAAGCTCAGGTCCCCTATATCCCCTCTCTCCCCTTGGCACGGGCAGTTCTCCGTCACCGGCAGCGTTAGTCCCAGGCGGAATCCCAGGGCCAGTGCAAAGTGGCCCGGCGAGAACGTGAGATCCGCCCGCGTAGGGATTGCATGGAGCCAGTCCCCCGCGCCTACCCCCTGCAGGCTAATCAACCGGACCACGTGCCCGTTCTCCTCCCCCG